GAAAATGAAAGATGAGGATATTATCAATCATGACCTCTATGAACACCTCAAACCATCTGGTTCTGTTGTACCAAGACTATATGGACTACCAAAAGTTCATAAGAATAATAACCCACTACGTCCTATACTGGATATGAACAATTCTCCCTATCACTTAATCGCTAAATGGTTAGTTAACATTCTACAACCTGTTAAAAATCATATCAACAAACACAATTCTCTTGATTCCTTTGACTTTGTTGACTCCATTAGAAATATCAATGTATCCGGTAAAAAAATGTTCTCATTAGACGTCACTTCTCTTTTCACAAATGTTCCCTCACAGAAACCATTTGCTTTTTATGTGACTATATTGAAAATAATAATCTTGATATGCGTATCCCGATACATTACCTTAAAGAACTACTTCTAAGATGTACGCTCAACGTGCAATTTAGATTTAATGATATTTTCTATAAACAAATAGATGGAGTTGCAATGGGCTCTCCATTGGGTCCTCTCCTGGCTGATTGTTTTATGGCGAACCTAGAAAATTCGGTACTTCGACCAATAATTGAAAGATTTCATTTATATAAAAGATATATGGATGACACTTTCATTATTTGCGAAGAAGACAGTGACCTCAATGATATTTTGAATATTTTCAATAACTGTCACCCATCAATCCAATTCACCTTAGAAGCAGAGACAAACAACGAATTTCATTTTCTTGATATCCATTTAAAAAGAATGCCTGACGGTTTATTACAGAGATCGATATACAGAAAACCCACTTGGAATGGACAATACACGAACTTCCACAGTTGGGTTCCATTAATTAGAAAAAGGAACTTAATTCATTCTTTATCCTCAAGGATCAGGCGAATTTGTTCCAACGACACAATAGATGGGGAACTATTTTATCTTCGACAGACCCTCATCAAAAACGGTTATCCACCGAGATTCATCGATAGAAACTTGGTACCTAGACCCCATGATAAAGCATTGACAGTAGAGAAAAAAACTCTATTTATGAATATGGAATTTAAGGGAGATACAGCTGCTGAAATCCTAAATAAACGGATTTCGAAATCAATGAATAAAACATTCCACGCAGCTAAACTTCGAATCATCTTCTCTAGCCGACCTACCATTCTGGGGTGTGTAAAGGACAAACTTTCGCTTTGGGCCACTTCAATGTGTATCTATAAATTTACTTGCTCATGTGGGGCATGTTACATAGGCCGCACAAAGCGATCATTATCCAAACGCATCTCGGAACATTATCCGGCTTGGCTTTTGAAAGGGGAGCGAAAAACAATCACGAGTTCTATACAGGAGCACTTAATCAACTGTGGACATATCGCTCCAAAAGACTCTTCGTTTAAAATAGTTTACAGAGTCAAAGGAACTGGATCGAAGGGGGTTCGAATCAATATTTTATGCACCGCAGAGGCATTGGCAATCCACAAACTAAAGCCTGAACTTTGTGTGCAGAAACGATTTGTCCAACCTCTTATCCTTCCTTGGCCCTAATGGTTTTTTTTTTCTAATGTACTTTTATTATTATCCATATTTTTAAATTACTATTTTGCACTTTAAACTTTAATCATTTGTTATTATTACCTTTTACAAGTTTTCTTGATTATCATTCAGTTTATTATTATGACCTTTGTTGTTTTGTCGTTTTTCTTCATATCTGTCAATCTGTCAATTGGACTATCATCTGACCCTTAAATTTTGTTCTTCCTTACCCCTTGATTAGTACGTTAACCTCATTTGTTATTTATTGTCGAATCCATTTTTCGTGATACAATCCTTTCTATCCTTCTATAGACATACATTTTCCATATAACTATATATACGAATGTACAGCTTAAGTAAATGATTTCGTCGAAAAGAAAATTTTCTTCGCTGGATTCTCTTTTTCTTATTCGAAAATACATATATTAATGTTGATTTTACAGTTCAAATGTCTACTGGACATGTAATTGCTTTGGGGATAATCGACAATAAAATCTATCCGACTATGTTTCGTGCTAATTGGTATTCATCATAAAAAGATACCTGTAACCCTGGGGAAATTAATACTCTTTGAGATTCGAACCCACATACAATAACAGACGTCACCACTGAGATATGTAGTTGTGGATGATCTCTAATAAAACTGAGATGTATTTATAAGCGATTCGTCGATGAGTAGTAGTAACCAGTGTTATGTTTATTTAATTCTTTAGTGTTGATCAAATCCCATTGATATGCTGAATAACGCATAATTTGCGGTAACTATTTATCGCTAATTCAAAATTAATCATTACCATTAAAAAAAACTGACCTCTGATCTATTAATGTTGATTTAGTAACATTAAACTATGTAGTCTGTGGGTTCGAACCATGAACCTATGATGATGAAACAGATTTAAAAGGAAGAAGCTCAAACCAAATAAGTTGAATAAAATCATACAAGCGAAGAAGGATAGCGGATAGCAGTGGAAACCAGGACGTGCGTTTCGTGGAGAGACTATAATTTATGGACGAACCAATCAGATTTGATATAGCAGGTCTTGGATTTTAGCGCGAAATTCGTACACTCATTTGGCTAAATACTGTTTCGGCACTATAGCTGACATCATTTTGAAATGAAAACCCTAAATCTAATTTTTAACATTAACCATCAACTGTAAATCAGAATTCTAATTTCTCACACTGCTTTATAATCCTCATTTAGTCCTAGTCGGTAGGTGGATATTTTCAAGATCATTCTAGAGTTTCTCAAAGGTCGTCCATAAATTATCGTTTCACCCGTTTCGTCCTATTTAGGAATTGTCAGCTGGATGTACATGCATCTCAGTGTTAATGTTCACTCTGACACTCGTACTTTGAAACGCAGGTACATCCAGTTGACGAGTCCTAAATAGGACGAAACGTGTGTCCTAGATTCCACTGCTACCTACCATCCACCTTTGCCTATAATGCCTGTGAATTAAGGTAATATCGAGGCAATCTACATAGGATGCACATTTGCCAATAAGAGACTGATCAATTGCTGTCCTAAACATCAATGGGAAGATCCAAGTAAACAATACCAAGTGAATTAAAAACTTCACCCCATTGCACAAGCAAGTGGCCATTAGGACTCAGTAGCTAAGTGGATAACGCGATAGTGTTTGAAGCGAATGGTACTGGGTTCGAGTTCCACAGTGAACATCAACTCTGAGATGCAGGTACATCTAGTTGACGAGTCCTAAATAGGACGGAATGCACGTCCTGGATTCCACTTCTAGCTACTATCCATCTTCGTTTATAATGCTTGTGACTTAGGACAATCCACACAATAAGAGACTGAACAATTTTAGTCCTAAACATGAATAAGAAGATTCAAGTAAACAACAATATGAAGTGAATAAATATTTTCAGAAGGGGTTTATGGAGATTCTAGAAATTCCATAGGTTGAAATTATGAGTCTATTGAAGCTAGACCACCATGGAAAACCTGGAAGCACTGGATGGCCGTTTCGTCCTAGTATGGGACTCCTCAGCAGTGCATATCCACGATCCCGCACCCCGCGATATTCGAACTCAAGAGCTATCAGTCTCGCGCCAAGCGCTTAACCAACTAGACCACTGAGCCGGGATCATGGATGCGCAATGCTGAGAAGTCCCATACCAGGACGAAACGGCCGTCCAGTGCTTTCAGGTTTTCCATGATGGTCTAGCCTCAATCGACTCATGATTTCAATCTGTGGAATAAATATTGACCATTTAGTTAATGTAAAACATATGACAATCAGGTATAAAAGAATAAAGTGAACTTATTATAAATTATGTTTATATAATAATAATAATCAAAACAAAATTTAACCTAATAGAATAATAAAATTTATTAGTTTAATTGATTATACAGATTTATTAATACAAAGTAATAACAAATAATATTACAATAAATGATTATGATTATTATTATCATTGAAATGGAACACACCGGTCATCCAATAACACATATTAACATGAATATAATGTGCGAGGAAGTGAGAGAAAGAGACAGGGAGAGGGAGAGAAACGAGGGGGATGATGAGTAAGTCACCAATAAAACACATATACACATACATACATAAGCACACATACACTCACGTATATTCAGTAATTGACTTGGATACAACAGTGTAACTACTTAATTTATTATACATACAAATACATTTTAATAATTAATCAAAAGTAATTTAACACAAATTAGATAAATATATATTAAAGAAACGATATAAGATGTATAAATGATGAGGAAAAAGAAGCCTTTATCTTTAACTCATTTCATTATTCAATTCTTATTTTACATACACACATGAATAGAAGTGGAATAATTGAATGAGTAAAAAATAGAATAAAAATTAAATAGGCGCTTGATAGTTTCGTCTCTGTCATTCTTCTTCTTCTTCTTCTCCTTGTTATATTTTTATAATGATGAAAAAGTGTACCGGACAACTTGAAAGAAAGAAAAAACAAGCAAACAAAGGAAGTCATACCTCTTTCTCGATATATAGTATAGGTATAGTTGTATGAAAATGCAATAATTCCCAAATAGAATTCATTAATTAACAAAATAAATCCACTAATCAATGTATAGTAATAATAATCATAACACACTGATTAGGGGAATAACAATGGAAAAGTAAGTAGAATGTAATGAATCTTAGAGATTTAAAAAACAAAGGAAAAAGAAGGGTTACATGCTGTTATGAGAATATTGAAGTGAAATGAGAGAGACAGAGAGGGAGGGAGTGAGTGAGTGAATGAAGAAAACAAACACTCTTTCTTCTCTGAGAAACAAACTTATCTATTTAATAAAATCATATAAGTAAACAAAACACAACTTATTTCAAATAAATAAAAACAATTTTTATTTTAAGGATTATTTATGTAAAAAGAAAAGAATAAAGATAAGGTAAAAGAAATCGATAAAAGAAAATGGGGGGGAAGGTAAGATTGTTTCTAATTGGAATCAAAAAGAAAAATAAACAATGAATTTACATTGTTGTTGTTTCATCGATCATTTTTGTCTTATTTAAATTTGATTGTTTATCAAGTGGTAATAATTTGATATGATGTACATTGATAATAGAATCATTATGTTGATCAATATGCTGAGATAAAGTAACAGAATAAGAAGAAGATAACGGTGAAGGATCAGTGATGATATGATCAAGTTGTGCACAAGTAACGATAATAGGATTAGGAGTTAATTGATCATTATATGAATTTAATTTAGGCGATAATTTAGACTTTGAAAATGATGATGATAAGGAGGAGGATGACGAAGATGATGGGTCTGTACATGAAGATGATGAAGACGATGGTGATGATGCACATGGAACAACTTGACTGGCACTTTGACTAACACTAGATATTTCACCATCATCTGGACTAATATATGTAGAACATTTAGTTTGCATTAAGATATTCGAATAAACTGACAAAGGATGAGATGGAAGACAATGAGTTGTTGTTGTCATTGTTTTTATTGCTGTTGTTATTGTTGTAGTGACTTTAACTGGTTCAATTGTAGTCAAATGATGATGATGGTAAGCTGAACTTACAAAACCAGGAATAAAATATTCACGTGAATTAGCATTCAATTCAATCATTGGTTCATAATTATTAGCATAACTTTGATTTGTTACAATATAGGGAATATGTGTAAATAACAAATTTGTATGTTGTTGACTTTGGTGTTGGTCATTATGTTCAGGATTGTTATTGTTAATGTCATCGCTGTCAACTTCATGAAATTCATCATCGTCTTCATTTACTGAAACAATTTCATCTTCACTATCAAATGCATCTGAGTCATTATTATTACGACTGGTGAGGATAGCGTTTTCAGATGGATTGCGTAATAATTTTACATTGGATTCACAATCAGTAATGTAGTTTTGAGATGTAATTAGAGATTGTTTGGGATTTTGTTCATTGATAACAAATGGACTTTCAGTTACAATATATGGATTTGTACATGTCTATACATATAGTGAGATAAAAAGTGTGAAAATAATATCTAGAATGAAATATTACTATTTAGAAATAGTCAATATATACATTTTTCTAACCAACTGTATAGATATGGGTTCGAATCCCACTCTTGACATTAAACTTAGTGGAGCAGTAGTAAGTCAGGAGTAAATCCAGTAAACTTTCAACTATATTATAAAGGGATGAGTAATGAAGAAGTCAGAAATTTCAGAATTGTCTCTTACTTGAAGTTATTGTTCTTAATTTTCTTCATTAATTCTTAAACGCTTAAATCACTGTATGTTTATATTCTCCTGCTTGTACACTTTTCCGTGACACGTGAACTGTTGGTGCCTACTGTACATACTACTCAGTTTTCTTTCACTTATGGCGTATTTAGATTGCTATTGTAATTTCTTAATGATATCGATGAATGGTCAGTGTTTTACGTTATGTTACTGTATGGGCTTTTGAGTCATGAATGAATCGATTAAAATAGAAAACTAACCTGTTTTCTACCCTCGTCTTCTGATTGGCTACTGGGTTAGGAGCTCAAGGACTGATAAACCTCAACGACTTGGTTGTTGTTTATTGGCCAGTGCGTCAATTGGTACTTAGAAGGTTACCGGTCTTACTGACAATACAAGTGAACTAAAAGATTATCGTACTAGAGAGAGGGGGGTAATACAACTGTTTACCTGTCACTACTGGAAGATCACACGGCTTGAAATACAACCCAACCCATAAAAAAACGAACTCTTGTTGTTTTCCTTTGAAATAAAAACTGCTAATCCATAGGTTTGAACCCCCCCCCCCAATAAACCTACTTTGATATAAATAAGTGGGTAGTGTTACTATCCTTCACACTTAACATGATTCGAAGTTAATTACATGAATATGTACCTTACAAGTTGAAAAGTCAGAAAAAAGCGGACCAAATATAAATTTGTATACATTCCTAAAGTTGAATGATGAATATCTGGCACAAAATAATGATTGTATGGTCTACTAAATTGAATGGATCTATAGTAATTGGAATCATACAAAATAAAGCAGAATGGTACTTGTAAAAAAGAGAAAAATGTCATACAAAAAGATATTTTATTTAAAAGAAAATAAACAGCTGATTGACTCAATTCATAGTATTTTGTAATTAGAATGTAGTTATAAATGTCAGTGGTTGATTTTGAAGTTTGATTTCCCTATTTGACATGATTACAATATGTAAGTCAAGTATTCTGAAATCTTACTTCACAATATCATTCATGCCATTTAGCTTATGTTTGAAGTCTGATAGATCAACCCTAATGGGTTGGTGTCCGATGAAATCTCTGCACGGATTCGAAAAGCTCGTTTGGCTTTTGCCACCTTACGTCACCTATGGCGAAGGCGAGATATCCGTCTATCAGTTAAAAAATGAGTATACAGAGCAGCAGTTCGTTCGGTTTTACTTTATGGCTGAGAAACAAGGCCAGTAAGGGTATAGGATAGTAGTATGTTACTAGTATTTGATCACAGATGTCTTAGAAATATGGTCAGAATCTGTTGGGATCACCGGGTAAGTAATAGTGAGGTTAGACGCAGAGTATTAGGGCATGATGATGGTAAATCATTTGATGAGGTTGTGAAGCCTTATCGACTGAGATGATTAAGCGACATATTATGCATGCCCAACCACTGACTACCACGACGCTCAATGCTGACTAATGTTGGGGACAGATGGAAGTTAAGAGCGGCCAAACCGAAAAGTTGCATCAATCTATAAAGCCAACAACTTCTGATCTGAGCCATATTGGTAGATGCAGACTACTTTGTTGTGGTCCGTGCCACTACCGCAGCCAGTAGTTGGAGACTCTGGGTGACATGACTCCGAATCGATCACATGGGTGTAGGAGTATACACTGTTTATCTTCCCTTAAACCATCGGATTAAAATTACTGTATGCCTTTCTTTCTACGAACTAACTATTTCTCACTGTATCTTATTCTTGTATGCAATCTATTTTTGATATATTACTACCACTGAAGTAACTACTTCTATGCATTTGGTGTTCATCTTATGCCCCCAAATGCCCCTGTCTCTGTCAGGAAAGTCCTACTCACTGCCTTCTCGTACCACGGGTGTTGTTTACGAAATTGAGAGGACGAAAAGCGAATGTCTGGCGCTTTAACCGGGTTGGTGGACATGGAGAGTCCACCTAGGAAAGTTGGAAAACCCTCATTCCAAACCAATGGTCATATGGGCTCCAGTATCCTGAAGGAACAAATGATGTATGAACCAATTGTTGGTCACCGGCTACCATGGGAACGCATCTCCTTACGTTGCTCCACTGCCTTGTGGATCAGACCTTCAGGTCGAAGTCTCCGAGTGTGGTCCCCTAAGAAATCCACGTGTTTCGGTTTGGGCACCCTGGCAGTATCACAGCCCTCACACATATCAAATGAGATCTGTGTGGCGCATATCTACTTGGTGCCTCGTTGTACCAATATCTATGCGTTAAAATAAATAAATAATAATGTGGTATGGCAGCTTCGACCGTAGCATATATATGTCTGGTCCTGCGTTGTAGCTGACTGACTGACTGATATTATCCATGAATGCCTGTTCACGTATTTAAACAACATTAATTTAGAGAATTCATTCTGTAGAGAACTGACACTTCAATAATTATAAACAGATAGATATGATTCTAAGAAGATATTAATAAGAAACCAGATAAATTCAATGAACAATTTCTAGTGTGTTAGATGATTAGAAGTAGTCGATAGGTAACCCTAAACTCATGTTTCATACTAGCTGAAACTGGTTAACAACAAGATGTATGTCTACAATCTGATAAATAATCAATTAATTGTAAATAACTGGTATGTTTACATGAGATAATTTACTCACTTCCACAGAAAAACACTTCAATAATCGTATAATATTTTAATAATACAATTATCTACCAAACTTTATAGAATAAAATATTGGTGGCAACCACAACTGAATAGTTTCACATTAGAACTTCTGATTACTGTAAAGTAAATATAATAATACTTCGTTGAAATCATGAGCCAATTCAAATTAGATAATCATGGAAAATCTGGAAGCGGTGGAAGGTCATTTCGTCTTAGTATGGGACTTCTCAGTAGTGCTCATTCAGGACCTTGTGCGCAGGACTTAAACCAGGGACCTTAGGTCTCACACATGAACGTGTCGGATGCTAACTTAGTGGTCTAGTTAGAGGTTAAGCGTTTTCAATGGTGGTCTAACTTAGATCAGTTCATGGTTTCAATGAAATTCAACAATCTCTACAACCCCATACTAAAAAACAATAATGCTAATTATATAAATGGTAACTAATATAACATAAAATATAGTAACTTACATTAGGACATAATGTATAATTACTTTGTTGTGAATTCGGCACAGAGGATAATGTAGAAGAGAAAGGTAACATTGGAATTTGTGAAACATTACTAACAGTGTTGTTAGCAGGTGAATGAAATGAATTAGTTAAACGAATTACAGAATGATTACAATTATCTATTAGACAATTTACAGGCAGTTGTTTTTGGTGGTGGTGGTGGTGGTGTTGTTGGTGTCGAGATAATAATTGTGATGAACAACTTGGTGATGGATTAGATATATTTCTAGATCTTTCTGTTGTAGTAAGTTGTTCATGATCCAAAAGTAGATCTGGTGCAGTAGTACACTGGTAAAAATGATGATTTTCTTCAGAAGATACATTAGTTGTATACGTAGAATTCGGTTGCATAAAATAATTATGATATGGTCCTATCGTATTCATATCATAATTAACATTATTATTATTTATATTCATTTGTTGATTGTTAAATTTATTATTGTTTGACATATGAATAGTTCTCAAAGAATTTGGATCACATGACGAACGATGATGCTGATGATGACGATTAGAGGTTGATGGTATTTCAGGGAACCAATTGTTAGTAGTTTGTGAATAGGGTGAAATATTTTTGATTGGTGTTATATACGGGATATTATTATCATTATTCTTGGAAGGATTATATGCTGGTGATGTTAAATGCTGACCACTTGATGAGTGATATATATCTTGCGGCTGAAAAACAAGTAAAAATAATCAGTAAAGTAGACCGATAAAAATTGAAGGAGTCAGCAAACAATGATAGACAAGCATATGTACAAATTTTATTCTAATCCACGATGATGGGCTTTAGGAATGAGTTATGTTGATAGATGCAAGACATTGGGGTGACATGGTTCATAACTGGTCTCAGTAGAACGGATTTTTTTCCTACACTTTTTATCCTCATTTAAATCTTGAGTTACAGTATTCCTTCATATACAACGTTCTAATCTGGATTTTTTTTAACTATATTCTCAATGTTTTGTCTTTTTCATTACTATTTCTACAGAATAATGATTTCGATTACTGAATTACTCATAATGTTGATTCCATCTTGTTGTGGTGAAGCGCTATACAAACTTTGACCAACGTACATTTTTTCAAGGCTGTATGTTAATTATAAATGACTGAATCCAGAATGTCATAAAGATAAATTGGGGTAATCATGTGAATGATGAGCGACAAGAGATGGCTTGGATTTTTAGGGAATGAGACATAAACTACTGGTAGCTTGTTATATATATCGTGTAAATGATTAAGATCGAATATAGGAGGCTTGCGTGTTGGTATCAGAATCAAACACTGAACAACACAACACATAACAGTAATAAATAACGAACTAAAAATTAACATCATGTTTGAAGGTTTTCGATTTACATTCCATGCTTAGTGTCCATCATTTACTAGTAAAAACAGTGTGGGCTACCAATGTATTCAAATAACAATGAGTTTCCAAGAACACTATAGGCCTGTTAAAGTTTAGCTGTAGCCTTAGGTAATACGTAACTACGAGTTACTGGAATATTCTTTTAAGACAAAACTGGTTGTACGAGAATTTGACAGACCGAATCACTGATTTACGACACTTCAATAACAATCCCCAACAAAATGGGAAACAAAGACAAGTTAGGAGATCAGCAGAAGTTTTATATTCAAGAAAACAAAACTGAAGTAGAACAACTCTGTGTATAAAAAAACATAACTTTAAGACAGGCTATTTGATAAGTAAACCAAACGTGAGAACAATAAATTAAATGACAGGAAGAGTCAGTGTCGAAAATATAAATTAACAGAAAGACTAAAGCTATTATCCTTACAAGTGAGAACTAATATTCATTAAGAAAAGAAACTAGATTACCGGTTTCATTGGTGAAACATTGTGCATTTCATCGACTTACGCTTCTAATTCATCCGAAGATTATTTATTTATTTAAATACATAAATATTGATAGAAAGGGGCACCGAATACATACGAGCCACGCAAGTCACTTCATTTGTGTGTGGGCTGTGATAATGCCCGGGTGCCCAGACCGAAGTAGGTAATGTTCTTATGAGACCACAAACCGAGCCTTCGACCCAAAGGTCTGATCCACAAAGCAGTGGAGCAAAATCATCAGTCCCATTGTAGTTGGTAACCAACGATTGGTTCATACGCCATTTTCTCCCTCAAGATCATGGAACCTGTGTCCACCATTGGTTTGAAATCAGGCTTTTCCAACTCCCCTAAGTAGACCGTTCATATCCGCCAACCCTTTCGACGCGCCAGACATTCTCTTTCCGCCCTATCAATTTCGCAAACAACACCATGGTCACGAGAAGGCAGTGAGTAGGACTTCTCTAGTAGTGACTGTATATGCGTGGCCATGTGGGAGTATTTCGAGAAGGGGAGTTGACTCTCCCCACCCTCGGCCGTACCACGGCATTTGGGGGCAGATAAAATACAAATAACTAGTACCAATTAAAGTGTATCATGGTTTGAAACCTTTAAAGATTACACTGTACACTCCAGGAATTAAAATTTAGTTAACTATACAAATTAGACGGAAATCATTTGTTTATTTTACAAGTTGTCCAATTAAAAAAAGGAATTATAATTCCTATAGTTATTTGTTTATTTTTTTGGTAGTTTACAATTGCGAAATGATGGAAAATAAATTGTAGCTGAGGTCAATTATTTTGGTGGAGTTCCATTCATTGGGCTGCATAGCTTGGTTATGAAGCTTTTATTATCGTTCTGTAAAACATCAGCATGAACTTCAGGTAGGAGTGGACCATTCGGATTTCTTCACATACATACGGATGAGGCTTGGCTAGTGGACATTGTTCTAGATTGGTTATTGTTGACCATTAACCTGTCCTTATATGTCTCATTTTTTAGATTGTATTGCCCAAAAGTCATTGTTTGCATACTTATTTTTACAGTGACAGGATGAACGTTAACAATAACCAATCAAGACCAAGGTTGACAAGGTAAGCCATCATTCGTATGTGAAGAAATTCGAATAGCTCACCTCTACCTGAAGTTTATAATGATGATGTTGCCCCAAAATTTCGTGATACGGTGGAGGATGGGGATAGTCCGTTCTCCTTGAAATGTTTCCATATAGCCACGCGTATACAGCCACTGCCAGGAAAGTCCTACTCATTGACTTCTCACAACAGAGGTGTTGTCTACCAGATTTAGAATACGAAATGTGAATGTTCGATGCTTTAACCGGGTCAGTGGGTACAGAGGATCCATCTAGAAGAGTTGGGAAACCCTGATTCTAAACCAGTGGTGCATATGGGCTCCAGAGTCCTAACTGAACAAACGGCGTATGAACCTATTGGTGGTGACGGGCTACCATGGGACTGCATCTCCTAACCTTGCTTTAATGTCTTGTGGGTTAAACCTCTAGGTCAAAGGTTCGGGATTGGCCCCTAAGAAAATGAAAGTTTCATAATTATAAGTCATCTGGATCGAGAAACACAACACCATTGAAATACTAAAAAAGACATTTAAAGTATAAACAACAAACCATCGGTCCTAGTGAACATGATCCAGTAGTCCAATGTGTCATAACTGGATGATTTACATTATGACAGAATTGGCTGTTAATATTTGCATTACTTGTATTAACATTCTGATGAGACATTTTGATATCATTGTTGTAATTATGAATGGTAGATGTCGGGGTACCAAAAGTAACAGCGCCGATAGCAGCGGGAGATGATGTTGAATTCGATGGCGACGACTGGCGTAAGGCTTGTTGTTGTTGTTGTTGTAGAGCTACAGTAGCTGCCGCTGTTGCCGCAGCAAATGCTGCTGCCATCATAGGATCCATAGTGGTCAACTGATGTGTTTGTCCAACGAAATGACTGATACTACTTATAGTAGTAGTAGTTGTTGTTGTCATAGTAGTAATAACTGTTTGTAACGGTGATTCAATATGCAAATTATTCAGTGGGTTAGTTGATAATTGTGTATCTATGTCCAGTTTTGATTGGGATCCAATTCCAGGACTGACAAATTGATTCTGGTTTTGTTGTTCAATCAATGACATTATCAGTTGAATTAGTTGTCCATTGAAATCATTTATACCATCGGTAGGTTTAGACGTGAATACCGGTATTTGTTGATTAATATTGCATGGACTACTTCTACTTCTATCACCGAAAACGTCACAACTACAAGTGGTAACAATAGCTGATGTAGTCGTCGTCACCGACATCATAGTAGTAGTAATACATGTTGTCGGTGTTTTCACACAGTCTATATTATTATTTATGGATGCATCAAAATGGTTTGATAGACTAATTTGTGATTTACTAAATTCATCATTAAGTACACTGGAATTTATATTGTTACTACTATTATTATTACTAGTAGTAGTGTTAGTGTTCGGTTGCATAAATGATGTAACATTTTCAGCCCAACGTAACACATGCATTAATAACATTCGTGTACGCCATAATTCGCGCCAACTTGCACCAGCTTGATTAATTAATAATCGATACGAGTTGTATGATTCAGCACCTGACGAAGAAGCACATGATATTGATCGTAATGATGACATTCGACTGCCCATACTATGTACATTATTATTATTACTATTATTATTATACTTTGTAGTGGTCGATAGACCAATGGTATTAGATTGTATATTATTTAGAGTGCTATTATTATAATTATTGATACTATTAATTAATCGAGCTTCAGATGTTGAAGATGGTCGAGTATGATTGTTTTGACGTCGGCGACGATGGTGATGATGGCGGTGATGACGATGAGATAGACCGACACTAGTTAAAGCACTTCGAATGGATGTTGACGAGATTTGACTTCCACCAAAAGCTATAAATGAAATGAAATGAAGCTGTTAGGTTTTTAAATGAATATCGCAGCGCTCCTCAATTTTACCTATCGAGTAGATAAGTCTGTTTTTTTCATTCTCGAGGGACCAGACACAACATAAATATATATCTCAACTCACCAGTATCCCAAAAAGCAAAAATGGCGCCATGAGAAATGATAAGAATAAAGAGACTAAAGGATGCAACACTTTAATTGTTTTTTTTCCAGTATCAGGTTGTGGAGATTGCTGAATTTCATTGACATCATGAACTGATCTAAGTTGAGTGTTTCCAGATTTTCAATGATGGTCTAACTTAGATCAGTTCATGATTTCAGTCAAACTGTAACTAATTCATATACCTTGTATGGTAAATAAGTAGTTATTTCACTTAGAATTCTGCACCATCAACATACATGTATTGCCAAATTTTATCCAAAATGTTTACATTGAAGTCACGTGGAAATTAAGTTCTTTAAGATGGTGTCAACATAAAATTTATAACTACCATGATCTATGCATTTTTATCAACCAGATCATATCTGCGAAATTGTAAACCAGAATGTTTATGATAGAAGGTTGTGGTTAGAAGTTTTAATGATGAATAATCCAATTAAATACACAATTACTGAATAAAATGATCGGTTTCCATAAAATCATAAAACTAATGAATAAGTGAGTTATAAATATTAAGGTATTGTATAGTTATTAGTATGAGGAATTTGCAGGAAATTGTGAAATTTTCACAGTCTACATCATGGAGTGAGTTTAGTTAGATAACCAACCAAAACCAGAAAGCACTGGACAGGTATTCCATCCTCCTTACCAGTGAGCATTCATGACTCCACTGAGGATCGGACCAAGGATCTTCGGTCTCGAAGCCAGTCTTTCTTTATTTTTAACCATTGTCTAACTGATATTGGCGAGTGTTACATGATCATTATATCTATACGTAACTGATATAATGAATTTGAAGTAGGAATTCGCAAGACTGGTGTACAAGTCAATATGGAGCGATTGTTTAGTAGTTAAGGCGTTTTAATTTCAACTACTAGGAGGTTCTAAACTCGAGATAGGCTCTACATTCAGTTGAAGACCCTCGAATAGGATGAAATGAACTGACTAGATTGCACTATTAGCCAAAATCAATCTATTTTGTACAACATGTGGTAAAAATGGCTATACCAATGGAATTCATGCACGACACATTAACAAAGATTAATAAAAATTCAGTCATGAATATCATCACTGCTGAAAACTTTAAGTCCTTTATGATAATTATCTAAACATTATATCCGTTGAGAAAATAGGTAGTTATCTAGATAGAGTAGATCCGTGGATGACGCATTGGCATTTAAAGTGAAAGGTACTAGGTTCGAGTTCCAAGGTTAATCATCAACATTAAGATCTAACCGACGGATTGTTACATAAGATGAAACATGCATCCTGGATCCATTTCCGCTGGCCACAATCTATCTATTCTAAATATTTCATTTCAAAAAATTCTCGGAGTTCTAGTGGGTTGTGACCAATAACTTTCAACCGTGTCATGTGTGAGGCAGTTACCCACCGTAGACAATGGAATATAATCGCGCAATACCGTGGATTGATTGAAGTTAAACATGTACAATGTTGGATACCAACTTAGTGGTCTAAACTTTAGGCGTTTGAACGCAAGATCGAAGGTCCTGAATTCGATTTCCATGTGAAGGGTCGCTAGTGTGCATTACTGAGTAGCATCATACTAGGAAGAAACGTCTGTTTAGTGCTTTCAGATTTTCAATGATAGCCTAAAATTGTCCGGTTTATAATTTAAATGAAACACAATAATCTCCATAACCCTATAGTGATAAAAATAATTTGTTTAAAAACTGTTTTATATAGGAAAATAAATCATTCTAACCTGAAGCTGTACCACTAGAACTATCCAAATGATGTGTAGAAAATGTATCTAATCCACTTAAACCAGATTGACTTAATCGGCGTCGATTATTGAAAGAATTATTACTAGTATTACTTTTAACGTTATTATTCATTTTTGTAGAAGCGACAGCTGCAGCAGCAAACATAGAAACTGCAGCTTGCAATACATTGAATGAACCTCTTCTTCCAAGTGGTAAACATGATGCTGATGCTGTTGTTGTTATTGTTCCTGTTTGAATTGATGTAAATGGTTGTTCGATTGATTTGGATTCTGTAGAATATAATGAAGAATTTATTCTATTACTGGTAACATTCATTGATGTAGTTAAACTAGGTAAAAATAAACTATTTGTAGGTAGACTATGCGATTGACTACGACGACGAACTGAATGAATAATGATGTTTTTAAAGAAAAAAAAGAACAAAAAAGAAACTCAAATAAACAACTAAAGTATATTCAGATAAACAAAATCAACAAAGTGATAAGCATTAAAATTATTTGCTTTTTATCATTAAAGTGACAATTTACAGATTCTACTTACATTATTAGGTCTACATTCATGTTAAGTGAGTAAATAATAAGATATAACTAATGGTAAGTGTTATGACAGAATGAATATTGTAAAAGTTGGAACGGGTTTTTTTAGTTGTAATTTTTAATTATAATTTTGTTACGTAATTACTACGTACCTGAATTACTATGCTTATATGTTTTACTTATCATAAGCTTTCAGTTGACTTATTACATACTGTTTTACATTTTACTATTCCTAACTTGTTGTCAGTTGACTATTTACAGTCTGTCCTATTCCAGCTGAAGAGTAAATAATGAAAAGAAATTGGAAGTAGATAGGACATAAATTGAGGAAATCATCAAACTGCATGACGAAGAAAGAGCTAACTTGGAATCCTGAAGGAAAACGGGAGAGGAAGGTCAAATACACACTGTATCGAGAATAGGAAGCATATATCAAAAGAATGAGTAGCAACTGGAAAGGATTGTGCAGGACAGAGTTCGATACAGAATGCTGATGGGCGACCTATGCTCCTCCACGAGAAGTAACAGGCGTAAGTCAGTAAGTAAGCCCTATTCACAGCCACTTCCAACTTGTTCATGCACCATTTTTACTTTTCGTTTTATGATGTAATGAGGTCTGGTCTGTCTGTGTATAAACTACGTCTATTTGAAACATAAACATAGCAGAGGCTGATCACTAACTTGAAAATAACTGATCGAGCCTGTACTTGATAAAATTATGGACACTAGGCTGTCGAAAAAGTGGAAAACGCGAAGTAGAGTACATTCGAATTAGAACCTTGATTAATGATTGGCAAATGATATTGGACCGCGATCCTCAAGGTATAACAGTGGGCTTTTCTGTATACGGAATTAGGTGTATATCAATAAACGAGATTCTGATCTGATATTTAAAGGTTGACTGAATATAAAAATTGATATGAAGCTGAAATGTATCATTAAGTTGTTCGATTATTTGCGACCATAATCATGGTGGATATAATTGTGTAACGTGGTGGTTGAAGGTAGTCGACAGGGAACCCTGGACAAAGATTTCATATCATTTGACACGTGTCAGTTGGGCGTATCTGTAATCTTGAGGGGAATGATGTTCCCTGGCGGATACACCTTGTAAACGAGTGCCGAATAGGATAAAATCCAAGTACAAAGCTTCCTGTTGACGACCCCCGACCACCACTTTGGACACGCGATATCGAGTCACTTAGATTAGTGGTCACATTACAACTTGATAGACAGAATGTGGTCATCAATAAAGAAAGACTTGACACCCGTGATACCTGTCATTTCACTCAGTGATTAGTCATTTGTAGATATAATTATATTTTTTTTTACATTTCTACCATATGTTACCTATATCATCATAAAACATAGAGAACTCATGAAAGAAATCTATAATTGTTTACCCAACAAACCAGAGGTATTTTTCTATTTATACTCTAGCAATTCCAATATAATTTATCGAAATGAATGGTGGATAAATATCGCAAAATCTTTAATAGAATAAAACACTCCAAAACGAAGTTCTGAATAATTTACTTCATACTAGATAAAACTGTTCACATTGTCTGCTTAACCATTTAATATACTGGCTTACTGTATGTTTTTTTAAGATCACTGATAAACCATAAACCATGGATGCGCACTGTTGAGGAGTCCCACAGTAAGACGAAATGGCCGTCCAGTGCTTCCAGGTTCTCCATGATGGTACAGCTTCAGTTTATTAATGATCTCAACTATTAAAATTACTACAATATCCACATAACCCCATCTGATATAAACCATATATAGTTATATTATAATATTTCTGACTGAAGAGTTAGTCAGTCAATGAAAGGATTCTTCCAAAAAAACAATCTCTTCATTTTTATTATCGCATTTGATGATTGATAAGGTGTTGCATTCGTAAAGCACTAGCATATGTACTGCTCATAAAAATTATATGCAGTCTCCTACGTCATATAGGTGAAATATTTAAAATCAAATGCCTAGAATACTAGCAAAATCGTCTACTCAAGTGTTTAAAACAACTTCCACTAGCTAATAATTAGTGATCACTTTAAATAGTGCTTTAAAGCCTGAAAATTACATTAGGACAATAGATCATGGCTAAAGGTATTTATTTCGACTTTAACTATTAAGTATAAATAACAAAGGAAAACATTTCCCTTTATCTATCTGTTTTAATCTTGATTACTACTGAGTGACCAATCAGTGTATGTATTTCAGTCCTATAGGAGGTCAGTCGAGTACCTAAAAGCTCAGTGGTAAATATACGGACGGTGAAGTTGGGTGATGCGAATGTGACAAGAATAATCAATTTCTTCAATATTGTAGGTACACTTTGATGATGAATGCTAACTAGAAAGGAAACTAAGTTCACTTCATATAAATTGATCCATGAATTGCTAGTTATGAGACAGTTGATGCAACATATAACTATTCAATAACATATTATCCTATATTTATATGATCTCTTACAATATACTTGTGGTAAATACATAATTAAATCCGTTCAAAATACCCTACATGGTCGTATTCAATTATTGGCCCCAAATGCTGTTACAACTGAGGTGGAGAGAGTTTACTCTACTTTAGAATATGCTCTTATATGGGGATGGATTAATAGCCTCAGGAAAGTAAGCTCGATCCGCTGCCCTTATGTGGTGCATGGTTTTCACGAAAGTTAGAGAATGAAAAACAAATATTCGGAGATTAGGCCTGGTTGATGGACATGGAGATTTTAGCTTAGGGAAGTTGGAGTGTCCCAATCTCAAACCAATATGTTGCTTTAGCTCCAAAATATCGAGAGAACGAATGGCGTATAAACTTGTTTTAATTAACGGCTACCATCGGACTGCATCAATCGCCTTGTGGATTAAACCCATGGGGTCAAAAAACGGAGATCAGTCTTTTAGGAAAACCATTTTGATTAAATGTCGGAGCCCGAGGAGTATTCAGTAACTTTCTAGAATTCGGTGCTTGATTCAACAATGTACGCCAATGTTCTAATAATTGCTAGGACCGAAAGTGTTATTCAACTGAATGCCAGATTTTTATTAGCTACCAGGAAAAGAGGTTCAAGCAAAATGTTGACAATTTAAATTTTGATCACATCAGGACAGGCTGGAATGACAGGTTTCTACAGATTTATATTCGTAAACACATGAGCAGTGTGAATATGATATACACTTATATACATCAAAAAAGTAATTTACTTGACGAACGTCCAGATAATAATCGTTTGTGCCTGCTTCGACGTTGTGTGATGCTCTAAAATGAAAAAATGAGTAGAAATAATGATCGTATAATTGAATAAGCCTAATAAGAATGATCCAACTTAACCAGTTTTTATAGATCGAAATCAGAAATAGAACAATCGATAACTATTGGTGAGTGATCGACAACTGTTTTTACCCCAGTTTATAACTCCTCAGCAGTGTTCAACTATGATCTTGCAAGGTATCATGCATAGGGACCTTTAGGTTAAGTGACCAGCACAATATTTTCAAAACACTGGGCTCCAATCTAATGGTGTATGTATAAAATAATGCAACGGTCACTTAGTATAAGTGGCGATGATTGTGCAACTATCGACATGACTGAATTCCACAGGGACATAAGCTTTCCATACAACCTGGTGAATCTTTATGTTAGAGTTATTCAATACCCCTTGGTTTTTGTTAATCTTAAGCTGGTATCAGCCTGTTATGAAATTTATCGGCAAAAACTACATAATTAACCTCTTCCTAGGTAATCAAATCAACTTACTGCTGTTAAATCCGATAACTGTTTTTGATACTGTTCATAGGCAGCTGCCGCAGTCAATGTAGCTGTTAGATCTGACTGATGGGACAAAGAATGATTGGAATGATGATTATTACTCCCAGTCAAATTAACATTACTACTATTACGAATCAAAGTAGTCGGAATCAATTCTGTTGTTTGATTGATCATTGTATTGCTAGTTAAATTATGATTAGTATTTTGGCTAAGACCAATACTACTATTATTATTAGTAATAGTAGTATTAGTTGTGGGACTAGTAGTAATAACATTATCCTGATGTTTAACAGGACCATTATCATTAGAGATACCTGTCAACCCAGTTGTAGATGATAATTGATACAATTGGCGTAAAACGAATAATAATAAAGTTTCCAAATTATTATTATTATTATCATGAATTGAAGACGGCGGTGATGAAGATGATGTTGAAGATAATTGTGAATTCCGTTGCTGATTTAAAACTGACTGTTCTAATAAACCATTCGAATTATTGTTATTCACTGATAAAAGTAGTAATTTCGATAATAAATTCGATAAATGTTGAGGATTTGGTGTGTTTGATTGTAACAACAATAATAATGATTCCAATGGACTCACTACATGATCCAATTGCTCTAAGATGTTATTATTATTATCATTATTATCTGCATTAAAATCCACAATGTCATGATCAGTAGTATGATTAATTTTATTGACAAGTTTATGACGATGATAATGATTGCCATCATTATTGTCAGTGCAATTTAAAATACTACTACTAATCATTGTAGTAGTATTTGTATTAGTAGTAGAATAATTATTATCATGATCAGTAAAACGATTTGATTTACGTTTGACTAATTCAAAATCTTGTAATTTCTTAGAATATTTTTCATGTGAATAAAATACGCCAGATTTTTTCCATAAATCATTATTTGATAGAATCGGTGTAGGTATTATAAAGAAACCAGGATCCCACCAACTGAATCCAATTATTAAATGATTTAAATAAGATTTAATGAAATTATCATTATCATTCAAGATGCCAAGATTATTCTCATTCTCATCATTATTATATGAATAATATCATGATCATTATCATTATCACTATAATCATGTGAATAAGGCGAATGATAATGTCGGTGTTGATAGCGATGCCGGTTACGTGGATGTTGTTGTTGATGAAAGAAATTTCTCTTTTTACGTTGAAACCAAAACATAACTCTGTAATAATATACATATAACATAGAATGAAAGATAAAATACATGAATATGTTCAGCATACAACTGGAAATTAACAAGAAAGAAAGAAAAAGATACAAGACAACAGATTGAACAGACATATGCCTATGTGACTGTGTATGTGTAGATGGCTAAAGATTAATTCAACTTCAAAATAGTTCAACACATCATTATAAGTAACGTAGAAATTAATGAATAAATGGATCAGTTCAAATTATTATAGCATATGAACACAATGAGATCAAATAATTTCAAGACAAATAATCCCACAGTAGTATAAGTTATAACACATTGTCTTTATTAGTAATAGTAGAAAAGATTAGGTATAGAGAAAATAACAACGATGACTAAAGAGAAATCGGAACTCAGATTTGAAAAAAGAACAAGGAGTAAATTCATTAGCATCATTTTTAATATTTTTTTTGGAATTACTACCCAAAGTTTCTAACTATTGGTTACGATATTCACGAGAACATCAACTAAACAGCCAACACTTACTAACATGATTCAGTCTAATTATTAATGACTTATTAGACTGGTGTCACTTCTTGGTTTGATCGCTACTAGCTTACCCACAACCTACTCCTAATTCTACAACAAATAGCATCGCTCGTCAATTTTACATTGACATGTTCTTCAATGATAACAGACGTAAAAATATAACGTAGAGAATAACTTCAAGAATTCAATTGACTATTGAAAATACTAGGTGATTTTTCTAAATGATTTCTACTGATAATCACATATGTTGTATAAAAAATCTTTGTCACTAATACCCAACATACAGCCCTACACAAATATGACTTAACCTAACTGGTTATACAACATTGGTATGATGAGACGAATAAAAAACGGATTTCAAAAAATTGTAACAACAATAATGATGAAAAAAATGAATACCTAAAATATGGTTCGAAAAATCAAGGTGGAAAGGTTTATATGTAGGAATGTTGGAGCTCAAGAACCAAAGGAAGATGAACAATGAGTTCATAAGCGCCATTGAGATAGATTATGAGCTATATTACCCAACGTTTCCAGCCACTAATCACGGTTATCATGTGGTGACGGCAGTAGAGTATTTTTTCACAAACAATCAGCATCTGTAACGCGATACCGCCTTCTCGTAACGGACAGAAGCGATTAAAAGAATAACCTTAACAATGGCACTCTTACGTTGCTTTACAAACCTCTATCTCCGGCAGTGAGGTGTAAAAAGTATGGAGGTATCCTGCATAAAAATACTTATAGAAAGCCTGTGTGTGATCGACCTCAAGCAGCTGTTCTTTGAACATCGTGGTCACGCTCCGAGGTCGTCCAGACTACCACATATAATCTAGTCACCTTTATAAGCATCTCAACAAGACGCATTCTTCTATAGTGTAAGCGACCTGAAACTGTCTTTAAACCATTAACAACATTCCAGTTAATGATATAATCACCAAAAGAAGCCAACTTTAGCATACATAATGTAATCATAGTAAAGTTGAATAAATAATTTATCAGATATTGTGATAGTTTTAGCTTTAAAACAAATCACAAAAATTAACACAAATACAAAGTTCATTGAGAATTATCTTAATACAAATAAATAAACATGTAGTATAGAAAAGAATACAGTTAAACAGTCTTACCGTTTAAGCAAATACCACCAAGTTCGTTTCACTGATGGATCTAGTAAACACATTGAATTATACAAGAGATTTATAGCGAAATAAACGATTAAATGTAAGAGTAATGGACCAACAGATGGTTTTTGAATCGATACCATTTCATCAGCATCAATAGGCAGATAAGTCGACATTCGTGTTGCAGTTAATGACGATGATGATGCTGTCTTATCATTATTCTGTTGAATTGATGTTCCTGTTTGTCGCTGTTGTTTGAGAAGTTGCTGTTGTTGGTAGTGTATTTGTAGATCAGATGATTTCATCATTAACAAATCAGATATTGACTGTGTAGATGATGATTGTAAATCAGCCATATTGTTTAACATGAAGGAATCATCTATTGAGATATGATTTTTCGTTGGAAATGTTGAACTTATATGATTTGAATGAATATTCAATGATGGAGTGAATGCAGCCACTGTTGCTGCAGATGATGACGTTATTGAAGATGGTGATGTATCAACAGTTTCATATGAAAAAGCTGTATTTACACAAACATTCATTGAGGCTAATTCATCAAGTCCTAATAGACGATAACGTATTCGACATCTGATAGAAAAGAAAAGAAACAATTATGTAGAAAAATCATGGTAATGATGCTTATAGATGCCAATGGAATAAATACAAACAACTAGTGTACACATTTAAACACTTCAATAATATTGAGGGAATGAAAAAATTATCTTTAATAGTGATGAATAACTAAAGGTTAATAAGTACTTGACCTAAGACGTGAAAATTTTAAGTTTAATCCCTAGTTGGGTTGAGGATTTCAACGCTAGTGAAACCCATTTACAAAATTGCAATGGTAAGGTTCCTTGAAATGTTTAATGAATGGAGCATAAAGAGAAGATAGATTACATTAGGTAAACTCCCCAAATGCCTCATACGGACGACAGTGAGAAAAATCCGCTCTCCCTCTCAAAATGCTCTCACAACTCACTGCTGTCTCTCAATTAGAGTGCTGTTTACGAATTGAAAGAATGAAAAGTAAATGTCCGACAGAGGCTTTAACCAGGTCGTAGATATGGAGGATCCATTTAGGAGTTGGAAAACCCTCATTCAAAACCAATGGTGTACATGGGCTCCAGGATCCTGAGGAGACAAAAGGTGCATGAATCTGTTGTCGATTACCGACCATCATGGAACTACATTTTCTAACGTTGCTTCACTGACTTGTGGATTAGACCTGTAGGTCAAAGGCTGGGGGAGCGGCCCTTTGAGAAAAGCACCTGCTTGTGTTTAAGCGCCCAGGCAATATTCTAGCCCTCACACAAATCGAATGATCTGTGTGGCGCATATATATTTGTTGCCTCCTTGTACCAATGTTTATGTGCTTAAATAATAATAACAATAAACTGCGTTGGTCAATTATATATAAGCATTGAATGTAATAAGCCGCTTCTGATAACCTCACGCTAAATCGACACGGTAACTTGAACACTAGAGAAAATGCGCGAATTGTGAAAGAAAAACGCATTACTTCAAGGTTCCTTTATGTTCAGAAAAACGATGTTACACACAACCTTAGCCTTCTGGAAGTTTCTAAAACCATAATAAATATGGAAGCAGTATAGGTCAGTATCAAATTAGGAATTTGACACGAAACTCTTGACTTTTTAAATGTTTCAGAAGAGTTTTTATTCAACGCTGATTGGGTAAGGCGTCTCCAAGCATTTTCTGAACCTCTGTGAACTTTTCTAACGTATACTTTTGAATTTCCCAACAGAATACACATCTAACATATTCACAATTGATGATAGTGAGCTATTTAGGGACATATTTCCAACTCTCAATGAATTTTAAGTAGTTTATTCGTAAACATAATTTAGTACAATTATTTAGAATAGGTAGATTGTAGTTAACAGTGAAATCCAGTAAGAGTGTTTCATCATATTTAGGATTCATTTACTAGATGTCCCCGTCACAGCTCAGTGTTGATTCACAAATTGGAATTTGAACCATGGACATTTCGCCTTAAACACTCAATTCATTATTCACTGAGCAACCGAGTCCAGATAGCCACTAAACCTTTTCAACACATATGACGCCTATGTCCTTAATAACAAGGGTTTAAGTTATCTAGTTGCTGACGTTCAGGACTGAATTTTGATGAATCTTTGTTGGCGTAAATGTGAATTGACTCGACTACTTCATAAATTCATTCTTTCTTCTCCAATCATATTACATTTACCCAATCTTTTCTACGACTACTCATACTCTTAAGAAGTTCTACTACTCTGTGATTTATTATGATAATCTCATAGTGTGGTGTGTGTTACTGATGTCGACAGATATAAGTAGTATGTATCATCAGTTGAAAGTGAAATTCTTGATGGCGAAGGTTTAAGAAGATTGAAGAAAAGAGAATGAGAACAAAGAATGATTGATATGGAAACGAAGGAGCAATCAAGTCCTAGACGATTGATTGACATTTACAAATGAAATATTTACTATATGATTCTCAAATTTTACTAAGATGTAATTCTGTATTCAAATACATTCGACTGCCTCCAACTTGATATTCTCGTTCACTACGGTAATATGATATACAACAATTGGAAATGATACTTTAATTATGAATGAATGAATGAAAATCAATCGGACACATTCTTCTTGTCCCTATAACATGAATAAAATAATACGATTACACTTACAAGAATAAACGACGTTGTGATTCCAACCAGACAGGTTCATTTAAATATACATAAGTATGAATACAAATTGAAAATAACCATAAACTTAGTAGAAACATCAGAAATATACCTGGTTTGTAAATAATAAATAAATATAATTACATAATTTTAATATTTAATTGTGTATTTATAAAATCCAATGTTTGTATAATGGATTGATTATTTAATAGAGATTAACCAATGGTCATGTATGTCAAGTCTTTTTCTCTTTACTGTTGATCAAATTCTATCGATCAAGTTGTAATGTTGCCCCTAATCTAAATGAATCAATATCACTTGTGATATATTGAAATGTCATGTGGTGATCGACAACCTCAAACTGCCACTTCATATAACATTCGTGTTTTCATGGGAAGTTAAGTTATGTAACATACTACTGAATTATAGATATGAGTAGTTAAACAAGAAATAGTATCGATAGGCATGCTGCATGCTTCTGTAAATATTAACAAAAAAATCGACTGTCATAGCTGTTACATATCTGTTTGTTACAGGTCAGTATCAATTGTTTACTTAAAGATAAGTTCATTAGACTTAACCAATATAGAGCATGTCACAAACATGCTTTAGCTCAGGTAACATATTACATCAACACGAAGAATTAAAAATCAGATAAAAATAATATGGTAGCAATGATAATGAAAGGGACCACACATTGGGGATACGGTTTTAAAAAGACAGTAAGAAAAGGTGTGTAAGATGTTTAACTGGAACTTAGCATTTCGAGGAAGATAGAGAGTATATTTATCTGTTCCATTGTGACAAACTTTGAGTCATGTCACATAACATCTCAAATCATCGGTCGCATTAATCACTCTAATTACGTAATAATGTCATCGAATTCACTTTTATTCATTCATTATCTTTTTTTTGGTTTCATGATTAGCTAGAGATAGTCATTTTATGATAAGACAATGTAACTACAAGACCAAGGGATAGTTGTTTGAAGCTAATTATACACAACATTTTTGTAAGTAGATGAAGAGGCCAGTTGACATAGCTCACAGTTATTTACAATGACTCAGGTGAATTTACTCTTTATTTTACTCGAGTTCTAAGATTCCTTCATGCACAGTTTTTCTTTTCAAGATATATCCCAAATATCCAATCTTTCACATTATTATCGGTGCTATCTTATTTGTAAGATGTTCAATAGAGGTTAAACTATGATGTGCATAGATACCAGAGATAGGTATATCTTTTTTTAAAAAGAAACTGGGAGATTAGATTGGTAAACAATTAGTTATACTTAGTTAAGCGTTACAAAATAAAGGCTTATAAAGGGAGAGGATCCATGAACAAACAGTAGGCGACGAACAGTTTAACTGAAAATAATCAAGTGGGAACACTGAATACCAAGTTTATAAGCGTTTGATACTTTGATTTCCTGAATTCTCATATCAAATACTATAGCAATATTAGTTGATCGATGGAACTCGATAAGAACTGAAGAATTAGATAGATTTAACAATGATCAATATTAGGTGATCAATCAGTTATATATATTTCAGTCCAACATTAGGTCAATCACAGCTCGAATAACTCGGTGGTAACTTCTCTGTATACCTGGGAACAGCTGATTCGAATATACCGAAAAATATTGATTCGCTCACGATTGGATTTCGACCTTACACTGACGAATCTCAAGCTGAACGAAACCTAGGTCGAGTAAGATTTTCTGCCAGTTACCTCCAATTACTTATCACGTTATAATATATTCTATTGCAGGAATTTTGAAGAACTTCTGACATTCACACTGATATATATATTGTCTATCAGATATCCAAAACGTCTTCAGTCATTAATGTAGAACTAGTGCAAGTTATCCCATTGAAACTGTAATCATTTAATACAAATATATATCCCATAATTTACTATACAAAACTTACCATAAAATAAACAATAACGTACTAAACGTTGAGCTATTTCATGATCCACATGAAATGAGGATAACAGGAATTTATGACGTAATTTCATAAATTGATGCATTAATTGAATAAAATAATAAAATTTTATTATTAGACATAATGTGAACGGGATTAATAATAGTCCAACACGTGCCCATATATTGATTAAACCAACAGAACAAATTCCACTCAATGAATTTCCATCAATCTAATAAGATATGCAGTAGAGAAGAGTAACAATAAACAATTGTTAATTTCTAGAGGTATTTTCCAATAGTTTTACTGAAAAAGTTTCACCAGTGAAGTTTAAGCATGCCAGGAGAGAGGTTAGTTACTCACCAATGGGATTAAGAGATGATTGAGTGAAACAGTAAATTGATTGAAGTTAAACGTGTAGACTATTTGGTATCAGCTCAGTGATGTAGAAAGGTTAAGAGCTCGCTATAAGATCTGAAAGTCACTGATCACATTATTGGTTGGGTCGCGGGTGTGTACTATTGAGAAGTCCCATGTTTGGATGAAGTATCTTTACAATGCTTCATGATTTTAATGATTGTCTAAACAGAGTCAGTCCGTGATATAAACCATAATAAGATTTAATTTCCAGCGAAGCATTTCACTTCGAATTTGTGAATTTTATGAAAACGAGACTCCATTTTAATGATGCAGAATGGTGTAACAGTTTGAATACTACTCAAAAGTAATTTGATGAACTATTAAATTATATTTATTCGAAATAGATGTGCCACAGTTAAGGAGTAGGGAAGAGTAATAAATCAAAGCCATGCTGATGATTCTTAACTAGCCTGGAACCTAGAACCAGGATTTCCAGTCGACAATTTCCAAAAGATCAATATTTCCATAGTGTAAGTGATATCATGTTATTGAGATTGGTGACTACAACAAATCTTTATTGATAGACCCTTGGTCAGCACTAAGATCTAGAAAAACATGATATTGGTCACTACTCAATGATTAATCAATTGTAAACATTACAATTTTACAGACAGTCGTCACCCAAACAGTAGAGTGGTAATCCAGGTTCACATCTTATAGGGAATATCAGTTCGTGAAAGTTTCAAATACGCGTTGATGACGGAGTGCCACCTGACACGACATCTATGTTGATCAGGGTTTCTTGCTGTCGACTACCTTCAACCACCAAATATTTATTGTTAAGCGTGTTCTTCATGTATATTAAAACAAAATAAACATCATTAAACTTACTTCTGCAGCTGTTAAAATAATCAATGTAAACACTAAAGGGATAGCAAGCGCTAAGAAATGTAAACAGGTTGTTTGCGGTTGAGTATTTATTGACTGATTATTAATTGGGGATGAAATGATAACACCTTGATTTAGCATAAGTGATCTCATATGAGAACAAGTTGTTGTTGTTGTAGTATTAGCGGTAGTTTTTGTATTTAGAAAATGACCATCAATTTTGTCATCGTGATCAGCAGCATCATCATTACCATCCTCTTCATCATGATGACCATGTTTAGTAGTATCATCATCAACAGTTCCAATTGTATCAATGTTGTGAATAAAAAGATATTTATCACTAGTAAATAGTTGAATCCATAATATTTGTGAGATTAATGGTTTAGAAATCGGAAAACACGAGGATGAATGAAAACATGAATCTATACAATCAGACGATAATAAATCGACAAGTGAATTTAGTGGGATTCCAGTAAACGAACCAAATTTATATTGTTGATAGTAGTTATGACTACCAGTACGACAATGATGATGAAGGTGGTGTTGATGTGGATGATGTCGACGATCATGATAATTATGATATGGATTTAAACAAATACTATCTATTCCTGGTGAATGTTGAGGAATCGACTCCAAGCATACTAGACTATGGTTATGACTGGAAGGAGAAGAATGTAATTCTGCAGAGAGAAAAAAAGTGGTTATAAAGGAAAAATAAGTACAAAATAGAGGAATAAAATATTTACAATTTCAAGGAATCGATTAACGTAGAGATAATCTTTTTTATAGTAAGTTGATGTTAGGTTATAAAATCGAAATCACAGAGAAAATGAACCGAGTATTCGATTCTAGTTTACCATTTGTAAAATAGTGTAGATCTGACAGTCAATAGTTGACATTTCATATCAACTTCAACTTTCTTCTTAGTTTACTTAAATCTAAGCCAGCTTTGTTCATCATTCGAGTAGGTAATGGCTAGATAAGTATAATATATGATATAGTCACCCTAAATCGATGTATATGTTTCTCTTCAGTAGTCAAACTGTTGTCTCTGACTTGAACTTTATGGCTGACCTGGTGGTTTTATGATATGATGGGCAAACATTTGACTTATCAGTTAGGCCCTAATCGATTGAAAAGTGAGTAACTTGCGAAAAAAATGATTTCCTACAATCCCCTATAACATTTTATTATATTGCATAAAAGAAAACTATTCTTCTGGCTAGTGATCTGTCAAATCTTTGATTTCAAATGTTTAGGAGTCTTATATCAATAATTTGGTGTTGTGAGCAGATATTATTTAGCCACATCATATCACTTCACATCATCTATCGATTGATCAGTAATAACCTTCTTTCATCCTAACAATTATTGATTCTTTCTATTGTATAACATTTCATTATGGTTGAAAGGAGTACTTTGAAGACAAATATAATGAAACACTTATAATCTACCCAGTTATATTATGTTGATCTTATACGCCAATTTTTACAATCATCATTATGTATGTTAATATAGTTTTACACCGATTGTCGGTGTTTATTGTACTCTCTCTCACTCGCTCGCTCACTCACTCTCTCTTTGTTAATTATGTATGTATATAGTGTTTTTCTTTGACTAAACAATGCATAATCAAGATGTTAGTTATTTGTTAAAATTGTGCAAATCTATCTAATGAATATAAATTAAATAATTCCCTTGATAAGACCTCACATACATATTTAATGTTTCTATAATCATCGGTGAGTTGTTTATCTTTTTGGCTTTCCTTTTTCTGCTCACATTCTCATTACTACTACTACTACTACTATATCATCAGTTAATTGACTATGATTCCTTGATCATTAAATATTTCATAGTTGGAAATTGTTTATTGTAAATGAAAATCATACAAACTCATATGATACTATAATAATAATAAGAAGAATATTTTTGTATTGACGCTTGTCTTATACTTCCCCATCTACGTATATATATATACCCACAAAGAAGGTAGAGGAGAAGAATTGATTTCATTGAAGAAAGTATAAAACTCTAATCCCAAAAGATTACTAAACTTTTCATGTAACTATTGTATAAAATAAGGTGCGTATATATATGTATACGGAATAAATACTACTGATATTATTAGTGGTAAACATAAGAATGTCAAAGAACTTGTGTTCTTTTATTGTCATTACATTTGCTTTTCATTAAACAGAGAAAGTTTATCAGAACAATAAAACATAATACAATACACTTAATCTTATAGGTATATGCCCTGCTTCGGTTTGGGCACCCGGGCAGTATCACAGCCCTCACACATATCGAATGAGATTTGTGTAGCGTATATGTATTTGGTGCCTCCTTGTACCAATATCTATGTGTTAAAATAAATAATAGGTATATGCATAGATTATTAATTTATTAACCATCTAGAAAAACGATGGGTTTTTTAGCGAGTTACTTTTCTACGGGATGGGGGTCGCTAACCTCATGCCTAACTCTCCTCCTTTACCTGGGGTTGGGACTAGCAGTAACTCTATAAGACCTACAATCAGAGCAACAATTTTTATAGGTAAATGGAACGTCCGGACAATGTGGGAGACCGGGAAGATCAGTTAAGTAGCAACGGAAATGAGGAGATACAATGACGCTAACCAGAAAAACGATTATCTGAATTTACATGGTTAAACTTAATTTCATGAAGAATTACTGAGAATTGATGAACTGAGATCAATTCTCTTGAATACGATAGTACAAATCTGTGTAATATATTTAACTAAAGCTTATTGACTAATTGGTTGATTACTACCATCTAGATATTGTAAAACTGAAATATGTAATGAAGAATTCATTTGAAGTAGTATGAATAAACCTGTCGTTGATATTCTGGGCTGAATTTTAACTAATCTAAGTTCGGGATGTTTATCCAGTGTGGATTGCTTCAATATAGATAATGTATCACAATTTTTATCGAATAGATAGACTATAGGTAGCAGTGGAATTAAGGATGCGCGTTTCATTTTAATCTAGGATTGGCCAGCTGAATGTACCTGTTACATCTTAGTGTTAATGTTCGCACTGGGACTCGAACGCAGTACCTATATTTTCAAACGTCTAATGCATTATTCACATATTTGCTGAATCCAGATAGTCACTGACTTGTATAACAGGTATGAATTTAGTTAAATCATTAATAGTTTGAATTGTTCTATCGTTGATATTGTTGGCCGAAGACTTTGAATACCGGTTTGAACATCAGCAATGAGAAGTTGGTAGATCAAGATGAGAAGTCTAGAATAAGATGCTAGATTCCGCTGCTAGCCATAGTCTATCTATTCTAAATAAAAAAATATGTACGCACAAGTTGGAACCTTGAACCTAATCGTTTTAACGGTTTAAATGAATTATTTGTTTATTTGAACACATAAATATTGGTACACAAGTCACTTGATTAGTGTGTGGGCTGTTATATTGCCTGGGTGTCCAGACTGAAGCAGGTGGTTTTCTTAGGAGGCCACACCCGCAGTCTTTGACCTGAAGGTCTGATCCACAAGGCAGTGGAGCAGCGTCAGGAAATGCAGTCCCATGGTAGCCGGTGATCAACAATAAGTTCATACGCCACTTGTTCACTCAGGACCATGGAGCCCATGTGCACCATTGGTTTGGAATGAGTATTTTTCAACTCCTCTAGGTAGATCGTTCATATCAAGCGACCCTATTAGAGCACCGGACATTCGTTTTTCGTCTTCTCAATTTCGTAAACAGCACCCGTAGTGCGAGAAAACAGTGAGTAGGGCTTCCCTGGTAGTGGCTGTATACGCGTGACCATGTGAGAGCATTTCGAGAGAGAGAGCTGACTCTCCTCACCTTCGGCTATACCAGGGCATTTGGTTAGAGAACATAACTATTAGTATGAAAATTTTGTCGATTGTGAATGATAATAATAGCTTAGACTATATAATAAGCATTATTGTTTGATGAACCATTGAACAAGCAGATAAGTTTCAGTTTATTGCTCTATAATGACATATGGTATTTAACTCTGAAAATCGAACTATACCATATATACGTGTAGTAATAATGTCATGAAATATTCATTCGCTTTTAAATCTTGGACATATCTATTATTATACTCTCTTAACATTAATCTATTCTACGTTGTATAGTTAGAAAATGAAATTTCAACTACTTGAACTGATTTAATCATGTGTTAGGCTATTTGATTGGTCTAGTAAATTAATCAGTCAGTTAACAATGAAACAGTATAGTATAAGACTAGAACAGATAGCATAGAAAAAAAAACTACGAAATCAAATAGCTAAGCAGTAAAGATATATCATATTGAAGACGTTCAGTGACTTGAATATGACTGTGAGAAGACGAAACTAACTTTCAGGCAATAAGAATACAACTTATACTAATCAATGATTTGTCACATAAAAACTCAAAAAAAGGCTAGCTTTTTTTTAGAAATTAGGGTTAAGATTAGAAGATGGGGCTGAGAGTTAGGATATGAGGTTTAACTTAAATTAACTCATTCACCAGGTACATAGATATGAGTTACAGTTTAAGAGTAAGACCTAGTGATATTACCCGATTGCTCAAACTGAAGTGGAGTGGAGTTAACTTCAAAATTAAGGTCACGTTGAGAATCTAGCGTTAGCGGATAGGAGTAATGATTAAGAATCGAGTAGACGAATGCTTTATAGCACTGTAAAAATGAATACTTAATCAGTTATTTCTTTGATAATAAATATCAAGGACCTTAAAATTACCTTCACATATTCATAAATCATAGTTCTTATTATTTAGTCTCGACGTGCTATGTTCAGTGGTATAGGAGTAGGTTGGAAGAAAGCTAGGGGCGGCCAGACCAAAACATGGCACATGTGCATGAAGTCACTGACAAGTGGACTGAATCATGTTGGTAGGTGCAGACTACCTGGTTGGGGACCGCGAGATGATAGCAACCGATGGTTAGAGACCTTGAATGACATGGCTCAAAATCGTTTGCAATGGCGCAGGTGCATCCACTCTTTGTGTTCTCCCAAATTCTAATCTTCTGATTTCTTCATGTCCCTTTCTTTTTTTCTCTTTCCAAATTTATTTCACCGGATTATAGTCCTTGAATAATATCTTATAACCCTAATTTTTCTGATTACAGCTTATAATCTTACTACATCTAGCACTACGGGATTTGAATCGACCACTGCATCTGTGTGCTAATGTGGTGTGGCAACTCGAACTGATGTACGTACGTACGAAGTTCTACGTTGGGACTGACTGACTGACTGATTTAGTCTTCCTATATTTCAATAAGTGAATATTGATAGTATTTAGTTAGTTTCTGATAAGATCGTTGGTTTTTTAAATTGTTCACAATAGGCGTTATCTAGAATCTGATTGACTCTTCAGCATAGAATACGTTTACCGCCTAGATGATAACTTCAATAAACTAACAGCAGTAAAGAGAGAGACAGTTTAGATGGACAAAAACTCATGCATTGCAACATTAAAAGAATAGACAGATATCAGTTCAGCTTACTATGATAATTGTCACCAAAATAATAATCCTTTGAATGTAAACCTTTTATTTTCTGTTTACGGAATTTATGCATAGGATTGTGAAGTTTACCAGTTGTAAAACTATTATCAGTATAAGTATTATTATTATTATTATTGTTGTTATTAGACAATTGTGCTCTATCATCCATTTTTTCCACATTATCAACATTTTGACTAGATAACAACAATAATGAAGAAGATGAAGATGTCAATGATGAAGGTGATGCAGATGATGAAGCAGAAGAAGATGATGATGACGAAGATGAACAAGATAACTTGCATTCTTTTTTAATCATATTAATATTACTTGTACAATCTTTTGAAATTGGTACATTTAATGATTCAATGATTGCTTCATTATAAACATTAGTGGTTGTACTGTTGTTCTTATTATTATCAATATTCAAATCAAGTGTATTTTTATTAGTAGTATCAGTGGTAGTAGTAGTAGTAGTATCGTTATTCGGAACAAAATGTTCTTCATTAACTAATTCTAATTCAGATGATTTTTCATTTGTTAAATTCACTGAATTTGTTATCTCTGATAAAGGTTCATCAGATATTCGTTTTGGCATAGAACGATCTGACGACTTATTATATTTTTTAGATAAATTCTCACTGAATTTTGTGATATATGATTGAAAATGTTTCATTTCAACATCGTTATGGTATTGTTGAGATGGTTTTTGTTGTTGTTCGTGATGATGATGACGTTGGCGACGACGGTGGTTCCGATGTTTTGATTGTTGTCGATGTAATTTATTCTTGTACTGATAATGATGGTAACGATGATGATGTTTAGGAGGGAATTGTTGATGAGACAGTTGATTATTTAGATTGTAATTAATTTTTTTCATTTGATATAATAATGCATAATCAAAAATATTCGACCAAATAGCAGCAACCATAGAAGAGAAATACAATAAGATGAAATCGATGATACATAGAAATGATTTTCCGGAACTACAATAACGTGAAGAACGTAGTGATGATAACGGTGATTATATGGTAGAGAGGATGAAGAGGAAAAAACAGTAATAAGTCAAAGTGAATTACTGATGACACCGAAAGAAACTGTATCAATCAGTCAGTAATAATAAAATATCACTTATTATTAAATAATGTGGGGTTAGAATTCGATCCTAAAATAGATGAACTGCTCCTCAATACCATGGTAAAACTGAGAGTGAGGACAGTTCACTAATACGCTTTAAATGCTCATGTACGACTATGTATTTATAGCTTTTTACCATTGAATTGCTACTCATTGACCTCAAAACAGTGAGGAATGTTCTTCGTTAAAACAAGAAGACGAAAAGCGAACATCGGGGCTTAAACTGGGTTGGTCGAGGAGTTGTAAAACTATAATTACAAACCAGTGATTTACACAGATTTCAGTATCCTAGGAGAATGAATGGGATATGAACTTATTTTGATAACTAGGGACAAGATTTCTTGAGCTAGGGACCTGAACAGTATCCTTGCACACACAAATATTTGTGGTCATCAATGAGAAAAAAAATCACTCCAAGTTTCAAGTTCGCTCAAATAATTTTCAAAACTATATAGCTAATACCAACTTTATTTAACATAAGGTAATATTTTCATCTCATTTTGGTGAATAGCTTTACTCTTCAACCCATTCAGTATCACATCGATGATGAAAATTCTGTCCAGATGAACAGTATTTTGAACCAGTCCAAAGTTTCACGCTATGGAGATGATAGTGGTGTTTATAATAAAGGACTATCTTTAAATTATTTACATAATGATCGGAACGGATTAAATTAAATAAAAAGGTAAACATTATTTCTCGAAAAAATACTACATATATATCATGGACTGGTATTAGTTAGATAGAAAATCAAGGAGCACTCACTAAAAAGCTGCCTTGTCCTAGTATGGATCTCCTCAGGAGTATAAATCCAGCAGAGGTTGAATCCAAGACTGTCAGGTCTTATGGTGAGCCTCTAACCTTTAGACTACCGAGACGACATCCAATAGATTACATATTTCGAACTCTAATCAACTCGCTATGTTGCGTATCGTCCAATACGCTAAAGAGTTTAATTACTGGTAACATTGTGGACATACACTACTAAGGAGATCCATCCTAGTTTGAAACAGTTGCCTAAGATCAGTTCGTAATGTAAACTATGGCATATATTATATATTTACCTAATTTGTGGTTCACCAACACGAAGACTACCATCTTCCCGACAAGCAACATATTCACCAATAGTTGGTAATAAAGGTAATAACCAACCGAAACAACCGAATATTAAAAATAAATGTATGTAAAATAATGATGTATGTAATAAACGCCAAGATGGATTATAAACTGTTTCATTAGGTGCTGTAGTTGTTGTGGTGGTTTTTGTTCCTGTTAAAGAAGTGGCTAATGTTGTCGCTGATGATTTGGATGATTTACCATTGTAGATAAGATGTGATTTTCGATTTGTTGAAAATGTTGGCAAGTGTAGTGAATCAATAAGACGATGAACATATATTGAAAGCTGTAATGTTATCTCCATACGTTCAGTTAATTGTAAACGAATAGTGAACTAAAATTATGAATTATGGAATAAATATATTGAATAAGAGTAAATTTAAATAATTACTAAATATAATTATCATACATATGACGCTTGTATAACAGGTACCTTGTTTAAGTGATTTACTTAACTTTTAGTCAAACTCTAATTATGTGACGGCTAATGACACAACCCGATTGCTTAAACCGGAGTACATGCAGCAGTTTTCCAACCTGCAAATTTGAGAATTATATATATATATATATATATATATATATAGTGTAGCAGCAGTCTCTGTCTGCAGCAGTAGGCCTCAACATACACAAAGGGAAAACCAAGGTCCTCAAATTCGAAACGGAGAACAGCAGTCCAATCACTCTTGATGGCGAAACTCTGGAAGATGTAGAATCCTTCACATACCTGGGAAGCATCATCGATGAACAAGGATGATCGGATACAGACGTAAAGACGAGAATTGACAAAGCAAAGACAGCATTCTTACAACTGAAGAACATATAGAACTCAAAGCAACTATCTGTCAACCAATATAAAAGTCACAATACTCAATACGAACATCGAGATAGTTAGTTCTACCGTAAGGAGCTAAAACTCAGAGAGCTAATACAACCATCATCAAGAAGGTACAAGTATCTATAAATAGTTGTCTACGTAAGATACTCAACATCCATTGGCCGGATACTATCAGCAACAACCTACTGTGAAAGAGAACAAACCAGCTTCCAGCTGAAGAGGAAATTAGTAAAAGACGATGGAAATGGATAGGACATGCATTACGCAAATCATCAAACTGCATCACGTGGTAAGCCCTAACTTGGAATCCTGAAGCGAAGAGGAAAAGAGGAAGACCAAAGAACACATTACGTCGGGCAATAGAAGCAGATATGAAAAGGATGAATTACAACTGGACGGAGCTCGAAAGGATTGCCCAGGACAGGGTTGGATGGAGAATGCTGGTGAGCGGCCTATGCTCCTTTCACGAGGAGTAACAGGCGTAAGTAAGTCAGTAATTACAAAATGTGGACTACACTAAACCACAAGAACAATGAAGTGAACCTAATTCAGATTTTTAAAGAGATTGAATTGTACTGTCTGGATTGATTTAAATATTTTGTCACAATAGATGTAGAAAAAAAAGGGTACGAAAACATCGACAGCTAAGTACCTTCCAAAAACTGGTAAAGCTATACTGTACGAAAGAATTAATAAAATTTAACATAGCATCTCGTGGAATTTCACTAGAAATTTGAGACGTAGTGTTGAGTTGTTTATATTCTACCAATTTGTATCTAGTTAATTAAACATATATAGACAGTGGAGCAAAGGGGCACCAAATTATGTATACACCACACAAACTATTGGATTTGTATGTGAGATAAGATATTTGAAACAATGAATTTTTGTTGAGTGTACTTGATATGATTTGGAGCATAGTGAAGGGTGTTTATGTATGTTATCTTCCGAGGATATCGGTGCAGAATAAGACATAAACTTTTCTAGGATACCTTAGGAGTTTTGAAGATTTGAAAGCCGAAAATTACCGGTAAAAAAATAATATATTGACGACCTTGGAGACTTATCAGCCAGTCAGGAAACGATACCTAGTTGTAGAACAATCTACAATATAAAACAATGAAATTACAGCTTTGACCTGAACAATCAACCCTCATGTGTTAAACTATCCGTTTTAGTAAAGAGAAAAAGTCAAGTTTACAAATAAACATATATATTAGTAGTCGTGCTTGTGTTATGGTCACAAAAATTCTAATTAAGGTTATCGCCCCACAGAGTTTTCGTCACCAATTTATATCAGTTACAATGCAAAAAGGTTACGGTTAAGTAGTTCGAGTTAAACTGGAGTTTTGAGTAAGGTTTATATAATTGGAGATAGGGTTTTCGACATGAACTAATATCAGCTATAATGCAATGCTTTGCTACCCTTCTGTTTACAAGCTTGAGAAACTTAGGGTTTAGATTTAAAGTAAGAGTAAGAAAGAAAAAATATTATCTAGCTTCACTAAACACTCCTGATTACGCAATGAACCATATCACATATCATAACGCATAATTTGTCTCAGGAGCAAGTATATTTTATAATTTAGCTTAGTTATATAAGTTAGACAATGTACCCTTGTGGGCCAGGGTAATTTTACATTGGTTTTCAGGAGAACCAGACACCATCCGGACATTCATGTGACAACCAAAACAGTACAGCTCAACCCCGTTTAACAGGAGAGCCAGAGACCACTCAGGCTTAAATTTTATAAACCGAGCAGTACAGGTCAATCCCGCTTCACAGGAGAACCAGACACCGTATAGGCTTTAACGCAACAATCCGAATAGTACAGCTCAATCCTGTAGCGCAACTACACAGGTATCAAGCACCCTGGTGGACCATTCGCACCATTCATATACACATCTACATCACATGTATAGTTATTCCGATCAATGATCGCGTGAATCAATTATGCACAGCACGAACAGGCCAAAGTTGACCTATTCCGCTTACATGACAGTCAAACTCGTTAATGTTAGCAATGGCGACATGCCTCACAATGTCCCAATGACAATGGCCCTCAGGAACACTGAAAAGCAACCACCGGTATGAATGAAATTGGTTAACCAGCAAACCAATTTTTTGCATGAACAGTCAACAAAACTTGCTTAGCTTATGCACCATATAAAATTCACTTTTTAATTGAGTAATAGATATTTTAATTGATTTAATGTATTTAAAGAATTGAACATTTCCAATGATAAGATACATGTTATCTATCACTGAACTTAAAATTTCAAGCAAAACACATGAAGTATAATCTTATCTGAATGATTGACTCCAAGTCGTCAGTATATACTTTTACCGAACTACCTGAGTAAAACATGAATATTATGACTAAAAATCATTCTCCTACAATGATCTTAACTCCTACTTCTACTTCTATGTTTAACCCTAGAGCTCTTTTTTGTTTACCATAAAAAATAATTCATGTAATGGTTCAATAATCATGTTGAAACTTTATTGACTGGCATTTTATCATATTTGGAAATTGTCTCAGTATACTCCTACTTCAATGCATTAAATAGGGATTAATTCTCTCTGAAATAAATACCAAGCTTAAATGATGAGACCACTTTTTGTTTCTACGTCATGTTTTACCAATTAGAATTCATACATATATGGTTTTTGTATTGATTGATAACAGTTGAGCTGATTTTCAACCATTTTTTCTAGCGATCCTAAATTTCTTGTTTATACCTGTTTTAATGAATTATAATCCTTGTTAAAACAAATTAATTCTTTGACAGTGATAAGGTGGTAGGCAATAGAGAAGATTTTTTTCTTTGTTTAGCATAATATACAAAAATTGAATATGAAAAACAAAAAACTACATTTCTATTATACGATACTAGGTCTAACCACCGGAAAGATTTGGTGTAAATAAACAATGAACCGAGGATAAATAGTAGAGATATACCTGTCTACTTAGGTGAATAGCTAGATAGATATTAGCATAGAGATCCCTACACGTCAGAAAATTTCACAGTTTGCGCAAGGACCTAGAAGCCCCCAAATTCCCGAGGGTAGGGAGGGTAGGCTCTCCTTCTTTAAATGCTCTCATATGGCCACACGTATACAGCCACTGTCAGGGAACTCCTACTCACTGCCTTCTCGCGACCAGGGTGTTGTTTACGAAATTGAGAGGACGAAAAGCGAATGTCCGACAGAGGCTTTAACCGGGTTGGTGGGCACAGAGGATTCATCTAGGGGAGTTAGAAAACTCTCATTCCAAACCAGTGGTGCATATAGGCTCCATGATCCTGAGGGAACAAATGGTGTATGAACTTATTGTTGATCACCGGCTACCATGGGACTGCATGTCCTGACGTTGCTCCACTGTCTTGTGGATTGGACCTTTAGGCTGAAGTCTCGGTTGCGGTCCCTAAGGACGCCACATGCTTCGGCCTGGGCACCCGAGAAGTATCACAGCCCACACACAAACCAAGTGAGTTGTGTGGCGCATATGTATTCGGTGCCCCTTTGTACTAATATTTGCGTGTTCAAATAAATAATAAGGACCGAGAAACCTGATGGTCGGAGCATACTAATGAATTGGAAACAGTAAGTGAACATGGTGATAATCAGAAGCAATGTATATTGCTTTCAACTACTGTATGTCATTTACTTTCATTCAGAATCTTTTGCTTCATCACTTTTATGGTGACTAACAGAAGCTCCCAAGGATAAAAAAATCCTGATCACGCGCTTCGAATGTTATCATACGGCCATGAGTTTGTAGCCTCTGTCAGGTAAACCCTGTTTACTAACTTCAAAAAGAGGGAGTACGTTTACGAAAGTAAGGAGACGAAATGAGAAATTCCGAAGTTTAAATCGGGTTGGGGGGTACGAAGGGTTCACCTAGGAGGGTCAAGACACCCTAATTCCAAACCACTGATAAGAATGGACCCCAGGATCTGAAAGGAACGAATAGAATATTAACCTATTGGCGAGACAGTAATTTATGGACGAACTAATAAGATTTAAGAAAGCAAGTTTTAGATATTTGGGCGAAATCCACTGATTAATATAGCTAAATAGTATTTTGGCACTATAGTTGATGTGAGGTCGTGATGAAAACCCTAACTCGAATTTCTAACCCTAACGTCCAACTTTAAGTCCTAATCCTAATTCCTCACACTAATGTATAATCTTTTGATTCTGGTAAGAAGGTGAATATTCTCAAGGTTACTATAGTATCGCTCAAGGGTCGTCCGTTAATAATAATCTCATCAACCTATTTTAATTACCGGTAACCATCAGATAGCGTCTTTTGATGTTGCTCTACTCCCTTGTGGACTAGGACCTTGAAGTCAAAAACACAGGAAGTGACCCCTAATAAAATCGTCGAGTTTGAGCATTGCAGCCAACACACAACCATGATTATGAAAAGTGTAGATTAAAAATAAAGCATTATGTTCCTCTATTCCTATTAGGGCGAACACGGAATTATTCGATTTTTACCAATAATGATGAAATCTTATTACATTCAGTGACTGTGAATTAAATTTCTCCCACGACCTGTGCTCTTTTTTCTGATTGCCTACCACTAGTTTGACTTGCGCTAATTTTCCGTGTACTTGAAGGCTGTTCTCGTTACTATGTATATACTGAGTTTGATTAAGTTCTGTTTAGAAATCAGCCTTTTCCCTACACTTTGTCTTCTTCCTGTGTGCCAGTTACCGTTATCGAGTCCGCAACAGAATTGTTCATATTAGAATGATCCTCAGCTGTTTGCAAATGACAATTACCGTAGATCAACCGAGAAACCCCAATAAATAATCGTTCTTTATCAAGATCTAACACCTCTCTCTATGATAACCACTCATATATCAAAATTGTGTAGCTTGAAAAATATTAGTTAGTGTAACAAAATTCCACACACAAAATTAAGTAAAAATACATTCCTTACCAATGTAAAAACATTAGTACATAAACAGAACAAAGCAGCACAACCTGTAATCCATCTAGCTAATTTATAATGGTCAGAATCGAAATGGGGACGTCGACATGGAAAACTACATCTTTCTATGCCAGGAATCCTATAAAAAGATGGTAAAAAGGCAAACAAAATCTATGCACTACACAAATTATAACTAGAAAAGCGTTGAAAACTACGGAAATGCGTTATTCAAAATATTTCTACTTAAAACTCTGTGACAGAACTAAATCATTCACGTAATGTGATCAAATCTAAGACTCACCTTCCTATCGAATCCAAATCTGTTTAAAGATAATTTGTTGACTGAACCCTACTCTCTCTCTCTCTCGTTTTTTTTTCAGTAGTAAGCTAGGAAACTTCATCTGAGGCTATATCCCAATTATCTAAAAAATAGATGATACGGATTCCTGATCAGAGCAATTATTTGCTAATAAGCCAATCAAATATCCGATAGGTGAAGAACGAGATACTGATTAGAGAAATAAACCGAAGCAGGTATTATTTTATCGGATGAAACAAGGATCCTTTAATCCAACATTTTATTCAACTGAACATCACAAACGCAAAGAATAACATTCGTCAGGTAACCGGTGAACAATCCAGGCTTATGCATCATCAATACATGAATAACTTGATTCTGTATTTAATCGTGTTGGAAGTTAATCAAAAGGAAACTATTTTCGCTAACACTAGTTAAAAATAATTCTTTGTGCACTACTTCATTTCTGCATAATTAAAATTTCAACATCATACACAGTTGACCTTTCTTCTATGCAGTTATCACTTTGACTAAACTGCTTCAAAGTTGCACTACCCTAGGTCGCTCTCCGAGACATAAAAACGCTTATAAACATCAGTACTATCTAGTAAATTGCAATCGATTGAGATAACGATGTTTATCTAGCTGCGCTCGACTGTACTAGTGCTATTAGTATGTTTTCGTTTGTATTACCCTCATTTCAAAACACAAAACCTCTCTCATTCTCGTAAAACAAAAAATAAATATAGTGTGTAGAGATTGTTGATTTTATTGAGAGTAAAAGCAGACCTAAATTAGAGAAGCATTGAGAACCTGAAGGTCTTGGGTCCGATCCCCAATGGGGCCGTGGATATGTACTGCTAAACAGTCCCATAGTAGGACGAGACAACCGTACAGTACTTTCATGTTTTTAACGGTTATTCATAATCTAAATGAATAAATGTCTGCTTAATTTGACTACAGTTCAACTGTTTCCATCCCTCTTTCGCTCTAATGAACATATACCACTTGCATGTAGTGAACAGAACTTTTTAAATGGATGTTACGGCTTCGTGAAAACATAAGAAAGTATTCCTCCATACATACAAATTTATAGTTTCTCCCTTCTCAATGAACCACGTTGTCCAGTGTAGGGGTGGTCAAAACAAAACATGACACCAGTCTATGAAGTGATTGGAAATTGGACTGAGCTCTTTTCACAGGTGTAGACTACCTCGTTGAAGTTCAAATTATTGTCATAACCAATCATTAGAGACTTTGAGTAAGATGGCTCAGTATCGTTTATGATGGTGCAAGTGCATTGACTCTCTATCTTCACTTAGAATCTGAAACCCAAAATCTTATACTGTTTTTATTTTTTCGTTTTATAGACCTAATATTTTTTATACCACTTATACTACCCAGGGATTTGTTTTGAAATAATTCTATCTCACTATGTTAATGTGGTATGGTAATTTTTTAACCGATAAACATATGTATCAGATTCTATATTGTGTATGACATTAGTAATCATGAGTCAACAATACCTTATGTTTAAACATAAATTATTATTATTATTCGAAAAGAAGGCAAATTTGAATAAAACATTTTTATCCACTAGCTTGTTCCTGAAGAAAAAAAGGATCAATTCTAAGTACATAGCAACTAACAAAACAAACCCACAATATTGTTATGTAGAAAATGTAAATTATCTTACATCTGGAAATATGAAATGAAAAAAATTAGTAGCTTTAATAAATTTCATTTGATACATCAAAATATTGACTAATAATAATCGATATAAATATTGAAAGTACAGTAGCCTAGGACACTCTTCATAAATATTGAGATCGATAGTTGGAAACCCCACAAATGATTGTCATATATATATATATATATATATATATATATATATATATATATATATATATATGATCACCTGGAATAGGTTTTATATTTCCCTGTTATTAACTGATACATTGACTTTTGTGACAATCAATTATGTGAAACTATCTGGATAAGTATTACTGACCAATTTTACAATATCAGTTATTCATAGTTAATATACAGTCTGACACATGTGCGTCAGCTCAAGTTGCTAATATCCCATTAGCATAAAGGGATCAAAATAATACGATGAATACTAAAAGAACTGAAATAATGTCATAGTAATGATAATGAGTCTAAATAGTTCGGAAATAGTTCGAAGAAAACCGACAAAATGTGTGCATTTGGGCTAATGTGATCAATTCTGAGCCATATTACTCAAAGTCTCCAATTACTGATCGCATTTGTTGGACAAACTAAAAACAGATAGTCTGTATCTACTAACACGACTAAAGCTAACAATCAGTGACTTCATGAAATAAGTTCACATTTTGTTTTGGCCGCCCCTAGCAACTTCCTGAATAATTCCTACATGAGCAAACGTCCTGTACCGAGGTAGGCGGTGGTTAGACATAGGTGAAATATAACCCAACCAACTCAGTTGATGATAAATTACAACTCCATTAACCGATATTATATTCTTGTCTGATAACCTATGCTTAACCCTAACACTGCTCACTCAGTCATTCTACGATACGCGAGTAATGTTTCAAAGATACTTATGGAGAAAAAATCTGGTTTATGCATATCTTCTGCTTTCAAACACTATGCTTCACAGCTGTAGAGTAATACAAAGCGGATTGCTGCACTGTATACTTCCTTTATGGTTGGCAAATAGATATGTCGCCTAACTTATATGTGACATAAGTTAGCAAAAGTTAAACGAGATTTTTAAATTCATACAAAGATTTCATCAAATATCAACAAACAAAGGTTGATGATACTAGTTGAAAAGTTAAATAAAGAAAGCAGGATATGTATAACGAAATATTTCACTGATTGAAATCATGAATCAATTGAAGCTAGACCACCATGGGAAACCTGGAAGCACTGGACGGCCGTTTCGTCCTAGTATGGGACTCCTCAGCAGTGCGCACCCACGATCCCTCACTCCGCGAGATTCGAACCCAGAAGCTATCAGTTTTGCGCGTGAGCGATTTACCCATAGACCACTGAGCCGGCATCCAACAGTGTTAATGTCTAACTTCAACCGATCCACGAAGTTGCGCCACTGTACACAATTGTCCAAAATCTCCACAAAACCCCCTTTTGATAATAATGAAATCTTATCAAGATAAGTAACTGACAGTGTAAACAAAACAAAATTCAAATAACTAGAAAAAAGAGAATGATTAAACAGTATCGTCTATAAATAGTACTTATTTTGTATAATACAACATTCCTTGTAGTTGAAATATATTTATTGAATTTAAAGACAAAACAAAGAAAGCTTACCAATTTCGTCTTAATGAAGTTGTAACAAGAGGAGATTGACATCCACCGCCATTACTTTGAAATAAACGAGCAGTTAATTTATTCTTTGGTTCGATTTTTTTGAAAGAAAAAAACAATGAAATGAAAGTAAAATAAACACAGCAACCTTTTTGAACTTAACCAATTAATTAATTAATTAGTCAATCGATTAATTAATATTTTAGTTATTTAAAGTTAACAGTGAAATAGATGTTACTTTCTAATGATTAATCTATCCCAATTCATCCCTTCCTCAAAAGGATCTAGTTACTGAGTGAAATGTTCTTCTAATTAAATTACTTTAAAATGTAGATTTAAATCTTGTAGGATTAAATTCTTTTAAAGCTAAACAACCATTAAAGAATCATAAGCACTATTAACTATCATTTGTAAAATGAATGAAATGCTTTCACATAGTCATGTATATACAGCCACTGTCACGAATGCTCTATTTACTGCCTTCTTACAGCCAGGGTGTTCTTTAAGAAATTGAGAGGATGAAAAGCGAATGTCCGGCAGAGGCTTTAACCAGGTTCGTAGATATGGAGGATCCATTTAGGAGAGGTGGAAAACCCTCATTCAAAACCAATGGTGTACATGAGCTCCTGGATTCTGAGGGGACAAAACAGGTATGAATCTGCTGTCGGTTACCGACCACCATGGAACGGCATGTTCTATCGTTGCTCCACTGTCTTGTGTATTAGACCTGTAGGTCAAAGGCTCGGAGAGGGGCCTCCTGAGAAAAGCACCTGCTTCTATTTAGGCGCCCAGGCAGTATTCTAGCTCTCACATAAATCGAATGATCTGTGTGGCGCATATATATTTGTTGCCACCTTGTACCAACGTTTATATGTTTAAATAAATAAATAATAAAATAAATAGAATGATTACTCAATAAAATACTGATACGATGTTCAAAGATTAAGCTTACAAGTCAGGTTTCAATTGATTGGAGAATAAGCAACCTACAAGTTGATTACTACCAATCACTCATGATATTTTTTCCACGTTTATTTTCTGTTCATATTCATCATCAAATTAACAGAAAACCATCTCCATAACAGTGATGATAAGAATAAAAACCGATTTTTTTTTCTGAAATGTCAGTTGTTAAAGTGAGTGAAATTTATTGTTTATTTTAGTTAACATAGTCGAAGGGAGAATTTATCTAAACGTTACTAAATGAGTTAAAACCTAAACACCTTTCACATACTTTTAATTCAGAAAGAATGCGTGACAAATAAAAATCTCAGTTCATGTAATAATGGAATGGTTGGAAGCAATGATATAACTAAATCAATGAACAGTTTTGAAGTCATGGTTGATTCACAGTCAGAATTTCCTGGAAATTCTTCGACTTTAAAACTCCGCCTGTAGCTCTTCTAGAGTTACTGCCGGTCCCAAGCCCGGGTAAAGGAGGAGGGTTGGGCATGGGGTTAGCGTCCCCATCCCGTAGAAAACTAACTCGCTAAAAAAACGCTTACCAGAAAAAATAATCCAAACCATTTAAACTCTGCCCTGGGAGTTAGAAGGTCTTCAGTTAGAAGAATTATGACGCTTCATGGTGAAAGCCGAGTTCCTTCGGAAGCCACGAGGCCGATGCCCCTTCTAACAACCAGAGCAAAAATTTTTATAGGTACATGGAACGTTCGAACAATGTGGGAAACCGGGAAGACCAGTCAAATAGCAATGGAAATGAGGAGATACAACTTAGCAGTACTGGGAATCAGCGAAACCCACTGGACCCAAGCTGGACAGAAAAGGCTAGCTACGGGAGAGATGCTGCTATACTCCGGTCACGAAGAGGACAATGCTCCACACACTCAGGGAGTCGCTCTTATGCTGTCCAAAGTAGCACGAAATGCACTTGTAGGATGGGAGTCTCACGGATCCAGAATCATCAAAGCATCATTCAAAACAAAGAAGGAGGGGATCTTAATGAATATTATCCAATGTTATGCACCCACCAATGATAGCAACGACGACATTAAAGATCAGTTCTACGAGCGGCTGCAGTCAATCATTGAGAAATGCCAAGAAAGGACCTAACTATTCTGATGGGAGATCTAAATGCCAAAGTCGGAATAGACAACACTGGATATGAAGATATTATGGGACGACATGGACTGGGAGAAAGAAACGAAAATGGAGAAAGATTTGCAAATCTATGTGCATTCAACAAATTGGTCATAGGAGGCACAATATTTCCACACAAGCGTATACACAAGGCTACATGGATCTCACCGGACCACACTACAGAGAACCAAATAGATCATATTTGCATCAACAAAAAATTCCGAAGGACAATGGAAGATGTGAGAACCAGGAGAGGTGCTGACGTAGCTTCAGATCACCACCTAGTTGTAGCCAATTTAAAACTGAAGCTAAAAAGAACTGGACAAGTGGACAAACAGCACTACAAAGGTTCAATACAGCCTTCCTTCGAGATACTGACAAACTCAATGAATTCAAGATAGCTCTCAACAACAGGTTCCAAGCCTTACAAGATCTACTGAAAGAAGAAGAAACTAGTATGGAGGACAACTGGAAAGGCATCAAGGAAGCATTAACTTCAACGTGTCAAGAGGTTCTGGGCCTAAAGAAACACCATCATAAGGAATGGATCTCTATAGAAACACTGGACAAGATCAAAGAAAGGAAGAACAAGAAGGCAGCAATTAACAACAGCCGAACACGAGCAGAGAAAGTCCAAGCACAAGCTGAATACATAGAAGCAAACAAACAAGTGAAGAGGAGCATTAGAGCCGACAAGAAGAAATACGTGGAAGAACTAGCAACGACGGCAGAAAAAGCTGCTAGAGAAGGAAATATGAAACAGCTTCACGATACAACGAAGAAACTAGCAGGGAAATACAGTAAACCAGAGAGGCCGGTCAAAGACAAAGAAGGCAAGCCAATCACCGAAATTCAACAACAGCGTAACAGATGGGTAGAATACTTCGAGGAACTCCTGAATAGGCCGGCTCCAATGAATCCACCGGACATCGAAGCAGCACACATAGATCTTCCTATAGATGTCAACCCACCAACGACGGAAGAAATTAGAATGGCCGTCAGACAAATCAAGAACGGGAAAGCAGCAGGACCCGACAACATACCAGCTGAAGCACTGAAATCAGACATCGAAGCAACCACAAGCATGCTATACCTTCTATTCAAAAAGATTTGGGAGGAGGAACAAGTGCCGATGGACTGGAAAGAAGGACACCTCGTCAAGATTCCAAAGAAAGGAGATCTGAGCAAATGTGAAAACTACAGAGGCATTACACTACTGTCAATACCAGGGAAAGTCTTCAACAGAGTGTTGCTGAACCGGATGAAGGATGCAGTAGACGCCCAACTTCGAGATCAACAAGCTGGATTCCGTAAGGATCGGTCGTGCACAGACCAAATTGCAACACTACGGATCATCGTCGAACAATCAGTTGAGTGGAACTCATCACTATACATCAACTTCATTGATTATGAAAAGGCATTCGACAGTGTAGATAGGAGGACATTATGGAAACTTCTTCGACACTACGGAGTTCCTGAGAAGATTGTCAACATTATCCGGAACTCATACGACGGACTACAGTGCAAAGTAGTGCATGGAGGACAGCTGACAGATGCATTCCAAGTAAGGACTGGAGTCAGACAAGGCTGTTTACTCTCTCCCTTCCTCTTTCTTCTGGTGGTCGACTGGATTATGAAGACCTCGACATCTGAAGGAAAACACGGAATACAATGGACAACTCAGAATCAATTAGACGATTTGGACTTCGCAGACGACCTAGCCCTCCTATCACGTACACACGAACAGATGCAGATGAAGACAGCCAGTGTAGCAGCAGTCTCTGCATCAGTAGGCCTCAGCATACACAAAGGGAAAACCAAGGTCCTCAAATTCAAAGCGGAAAACAGCAATCCAATCACTCTTGATGGCGAAACTCTGGAAGATGTAGAGTCCTTCACATACCTAGGAAGCATCATCGATGAACAAGGAGGTTCAGATGCAGACGTAAAGGCGAGGATCGGCAAAGCAAGGGTCGCATTCCTACAATTGAAGAACATATGGAACTCAAAACAACTTTCAACCAATATCAAAGTGAGAATCTTCAATACGAACGTCAAGGCAGTTCTACTGTATGGAGCTGAAACTTGGAGAACTACAACAACCACAATCAAGAAAGTACAAGTATTTATAAATAGCTGTCTACGCAAGATACTCAACATCCACTGGCCGGATACCATCAGCAATAGCCTTCTGTGGGAGAGAACAAACCAACTTCCAGCTGAAGAAGAAATTAGGAAAAGACGATGGAAATGGATAGGACATACATTACGCAAATCGTCAAACTGCATCACGAGGCAAGCCCTAACTTGGAACCCTGAAGGGAAGCGAAAAAGAGGAAGGCCAAAGAACACATTGCGTCGGATTATAGAAGCAGATATGAAAAGGATGAATTACAACTGGACGGAGCTAGAAAGGATTGCCCAGGACAGGGTTGGATGGAGAATGCTGGTGAGTGGCCTATGCTCCTTCACGAGGAGTAACAGGCGTAAGTAAGTAAGTAAGTCTTCGACTTTAAGCTTCAAATATTGAATTTCGGTTACACAATACTAAGATGAGTCTATGGAACATACGCTAGATTAGTCCCCACAAGCAAGCAGCAATCATTGACCTTTTAAGTTACAGAACACGAACGTTGCAGTTGCGCAGACCGTTACAGACCAAATCATATGGAAAGTGCCAAGAGAGGGAGGAAGGAATCGAGAAACAAACGAAAACTTGATTCGCAATAAAATTGAATATATAAAGCGGAGCAAAAGTACTACTTCACCAATGTTGCCACAGAAGGATTTCGAATCATTTTGTGAGGGAGGTGATATGATACCCAAAGATTAAACCTAACAGTCGGCTCTTAATTGATTGGAGAATGAGTGACCTACAATCTAATTTCCTCCAAACAAATTTTGTATCATCAGAAATCTCCTCCAAAATAGTAGCTCGAAACACACGCAATGATGATTACACCAAAATTATTTTGCGCTATATACTAGCTCAAAGTTCATAAATTTTTGTGAAGCAGTAATAAATCCAACTAAGTGAACAAAATGATGCATTGAGTTGGGTAAGTTCAAATCCCAAACGTTATACAAAATTTTATGTGACAGAACAACTGGTTCATTTGTGCTAATAAAAAATTACTTCAGAGTCAAAATTACATTGCCATAACGCGATAAAATTAACAAGATGAATAGTGAATAGGTTCCAGTTAAACATTTGTAATGGTTTAAAAAATCAACTATTCATGCCATACGCAGGACTGGATGAAATAAAAGTAAGTTTTTGATTGTAATCAACGTAACTCTCTCCAGTACCCCTCTCACCCAAGCCTTCCAACACATAGAATTAGTCAGTCAATCAGCTGAAACTTTATGGCTGAACTAGAAACCTATCAATAAGCAAGTTAATATTGAATAGATTATTTATTGCGATTGACATTGACTTTCAACTTGAACCGAGAGAATAAGTGGGTTTATAAACAATAGACAGCCAAGATAAAGTGGAACATACTTTGTCTCCAGTCTAGACAAACTGGACAGGAAGAGATTTATTCATATGACTAAAAATCTAACCTTCATATTAATCCATAAAAGCTTAAGTGTTAAAAAGATATTGATTGACCAGGTCTAACCTAACCCAAAATTTCAGACATCTTGATTTTACCACCTCAGATTAATAGGATAATGTTGAGTAAAAAATTTCGGTAAAATCATCTTCACTCTACAAACAATGAAAGTGTCAATGGAATGATAATTCTGTGTACATATCTAACAAAAATGAGGTGTTTGGTTGACCGAAAGTCTTTTCATAGATTATTGACACTTAACAATGATACTTATCTGATATGACTAATGAAATGATGAGTGATTGAGTGCATAAATCTAAGCTTTGCATGTTTATGAAATCTTGTAATACGAAATTTCAGATACGAAAGATCATAAGACTGGATAAAACGTTGGAATTGTTTAGATTTCAGTCGCTGAGATTATTTCAAATATAATTTTATACAAATAATTTCTTCTATATATATGGCGCCAAGTTTCTGTCAAACTATTTGTTCAAATACTGACGAATCGTCGTATAAGTTTGAGTGATATTTAAAAAATGGATTTGTCCATAAATAAACGATTCCTCATTGAATGACTCCTTTAAGACTCGCCATTATCACTTCAGGAAATTGAGAGAAAAAATAAAGACAATGTGGTGTCATATTTTGTCATATTTCAGCACCTGACTAGAATGTCCGTCTTTATGTCCTATTACTAACATCAAGTAGATTGGGGTTAGAGACAAAATAAGTAGCAAACTTAGGGTATGAAAGGGAAATTACGTTGCTAATTGTGCAATAGAACGACAGCGGTAGGATATTTTTTACAGACTAGTATCTGTAGAGACGCTGTCTCATAGTAACGGACAGTAGAGGTTAAAAAAGGTAAACACTAAAATTAACGAACTTCACCTTGAGCCTCACGGATCGCCATCCCAATGGTGGTGAGGACTAAAAAGTAAGTAACTAGACAATATGTTTATCTGCCTACCAAAGGGTGAGTATATTGTACACGAGTTCGCTAATATTTCGTACTTCTTATTCCTTGAATTTATCTTCTCGTTATCAGTCATATTTCTCTAATGCACCTGCGCTATTGTGAACGGTTTTGAGCCATTGCACTTAATATCTCCAGTCACTGATTACGATTAGAAAGCAGACTTCAACCAGGTATTAGTAGTAGTAGTCTACATCTACCAACATGACTAAGACCAATAGTCAATGGGTTCATTGGCCAACCCCGTCTCTAAGCCTCCTTTCAATCCAATTCATTATATCGGTACATGAGTCATATTTGGAGGCTGAATTTTTCTGCAAATGCACCAACCAGCAGTAGATCAAATATTCAGAGACAGCTGATTTGAACTTTAATGAGTCATTAAACGTTTCAACTACCAACATCACCAGCTCAATATGTAAAACTAAGAATTATTTACAAAATAATTATGGAAAAAATATATAAATAAATATACCTGTCGACATCCTGGCGTATATAATGAACAATCCAAGAATTTCGGATATAAATGATTATGCTGTTTACTAGAACTGGTATCATCGTCAATACCTCTACCACTACTACCATTATTACTAATACTGTGACCAGTACCAGTGTTGTTGATTTTTGTAAATTTCTTTTTTACATTATTACTATTATTATCATTCATTGAGTGAATAATGGAAAAGAGAAGTGGACAGGCTTTATGTACGGCTTCACACATTTCAGCTTCTGGTAAAACAATTCGATGAGAATTTGTCGATGATGATGGAAAGCTATCAACTGACATGTTTTTATTGAAGAATTCCTGACTATTGGTTACATTAATTGAATGATTATTTAGATCAGATTGATTATTTCCAGTAGTGAAGGATGAATACGTACTATCCACATTAATGAATTTTGAAGTTTGTATAACAACACATTCAGGAACATAAACGGAGCATAAAAAGAACTATTTGCCCACAAAGGTAAAAGAAACATAAAGTTGTGGAAAAAATATGAATAAGATAAACTGAATGATAGTAAACTAAACTACTGAGGAAATTACAAGCACATACAATACACAAAACAGACGAATTATGTCTACAAATTAGTCAGAATTCAATATTTCGGCTTTGCAATTGCACCAATGTATTTAACACAATAAACAAACTACATTAGTATAGGGGGCGGTGGCTTAGTGGTTAAGATATTTGACTTTTAGCCACTAAGTTCTACGTTCGAATTTAGATCGATCGATGAGAACCTATGGCGAGACATCTCATTATTTACAGATTATAGGGATATATAATCGTGTTAGAAATCTACAGGGTAACATAATATCGATATTTGAGTATCCTAAAAGGTACACTTCAAATTTATCAATCTCCTGATCTATTCAATTTCGAATACTGTATTACAATGTGCCTATTTGGATAATGAAATGGATTTAATTAGTGTCATAAGTAAAATATCTGACCACCTTTGAAGTAATGAAACAGATATATGAAGTTTCTGGCCACTTATTTTTTAAGGTAACATGCAGAATGAATAGAACAAAGTACTGATAAGATATTTGGTGAAATATGTAGATTTCTTGAAACTATGTTCTTCATTAATTAACTCTGTAAGAAACCACTTCAAACACACAACATTAATTAACGGTTAACAGAACTAAACAACGTAAATCATCTGGATGAAAAGTATTTTGTTCTTCTTAATTCGTGTAACTTTAATTCAAGTGTTTAAACAGTGTAACATGTGATTACATATCAATCGCTAAACAGAAGAAACCAAATTTATACATTTCGGTTTACTCTAAGTTAAATATAATTGTAATGGTCTGGACAGTGGATTAATTAAGTCCAAATTAATGTGACTAGTTTGCTGAGCACAAACTAACTTATTAGACTATAAGTCATAATTTAGATGTAGACGAACTTGGATTTGAACCCTGTTGGCTGGAAGCTGAATACTTTAATCAAGAAACTACTGCTTAAATGCGTCGAATAGAAGCGTGAAATTTTTCGCGATGAAAACTATATGCTCCTTACAAATGACTACTAGACTGATGTTTTTGAACAGTCCTATAACTATTAACTTAAAAATATAAGAAGGCATAACGTTAAGAATTATTTACACAAGTATAAATCATTACATCATAGGTCATTTGACAGAATCAATACTCATTATCCCGTTAATGAAATTGTCAGTAATTATACAGAAAGTATTACAAGAAACAACTGCTTTTCATAGCCAACTAAACGACAAGACATAGGTGGATAGCTACAAGGAATAGACAAATCAACATAGAGGACATGGTCCTGGGGTTGAGATAAATGTATATTGCTAAGCATACAACACTACTATTCCTGACATCAGGACACCTAGTTATTTTAATGAGTTCAAAAGTTAGAAAGTACAATTTATAGGAAATTATGAGTGTCTGATATCTTGTTACGTCTAAACAACGAAGACAGATTTATAGTAACCTTAAAACTACACAATAAATAGTTTACATTAAAAAAGGCAGATAAAATATAGTCTCAAGCCACTTATTACGAGGCGTTTTCAGTTAACGAATGCTATCGTAGTGATAACCATATTGCAGAAGAATAAAAGTACAGTAGGCTATTATTAATGCTATTGTAAAATGAAGGAGTTACACTTGACGTGAAATAATTTCTGCAAAAACATAAGGTTTACTTGTAATTTATCCCAACATGTTGGAATAGACTGTAGGGCTGTCCAAAACTCTAGGCTGTAAAAAGTCACATCCTCACCAAGTGGTATTGGGGCTGTCAGTTTGTAAGGCAAATGATTACCTAAGCAGGTACGATTGAGATGTAGAGCGATTGGGACACAATGAGAGGTAGCCAATGTACACTTTTCGCTAAAAAGCAAATGGAAGTGATAAAAATGCAAGTATTTAGTAGATAAAACGTTGGATCTCTCCATATCATAAAGTTAGTAGAACCACACAAATGGGCAAACGTTTTGCAAGAAATTCAATATATCTGTGATGACTGAGATATTTGAGTTGTATTAAGCACATTACGTTGCTACTTAGTAAGAGGAAAATTTCCCTGTATTTAATCATTTAAACACAAACATTAGTAAAAGGAGGCACTAAAAATATACGCGCCACACACATCATTTGATTTGTGTGAGGGTTAGAATACTGCCTGGGCAAACTTGCCCTAAAATAGATTTAAATCATAAAACTAAAGATGGCTAGATAAAGGTACACCAACTACCCACAAGTTTTCGGGTTGTTACTGAGCCCTAAATTAGTGTGAATTTCATGTGTGGGATCAACGAGACAACAGATATCAGTAAAATCTATCAAAATGATACATTAACTAGTACTCCTTTTCCTTTAGGTCGCAAATGTTTTATTAATTTTTATCTACTTTTTACCTCTATTCCTTAATTTTTTTATTTATGTTTTACTTCGTTATCCTTCATGCATTCTCGGTGGGATTTCGTGGTCTGAGAAATGAAGCTGGTGCCCTTACACATAATTTTTCCAATTTAATGTCTTAGGTGTTATCTTCGTTCATGAAACGTTTGAACTACCCGACTTAGGAAATGGAAACATAGTAACGGGAGATCATAGGTAACATAAAGACAGGTTACTCGAACATTACCTTTTAGTTAGTAGTGGATGATAAAGAATCTGCTTTCAAAAATACATACTTGAGGTTCAGTAACCCTTGATGTTTCAATCTTACTAAACAAGTACTATTCGCATGTATAGGAACTACCTCATAAATAAAGTGCAGAAGCTAGATTAATCGTTTATGAATTAAGGTTGGCAAGTTAAATTAATTTTTAGCGCATCTGTTATGATGATACTCTATGATGGTAAAAATTACTGCGTGGTAAACTGAACAAAGCCATTGTTCGTTTAGACTTAGCAAAAACAAAAAACACAACGGTGTTCACCTCAAAACTTAGGATAGATTTTCAATAGACTACAATTTTTCTAAAGTTTAACGATCTATTTTAAAGCTAAAAAATACTTTCCAAGTTCAGCATTTGGTTAAACTCAAAGAGGTAGTGACAATCACTGACCTTACAATCATTATAGTTATCGTTGGCAAATCAGTCGGCACTGCTGTCCTAGTGTGACTTATAAACTTCCACTACACAAATTATGGATTCCAAGTCTACTGATATGTACCGCCTACCTAAATCCTGGAGAAACAAATCACCAATGTATATTTTATGACTTGTTCTCGAAGAATCTGAGTGAAATACCATACCAATATAACACTAATACTATATTTTCTCTTTAAGTTCAAATAAAAAACCAGACCGTTGTTATGCAAGACAATCAAATTACCTGTTATCTTTCGATGGACCTGATGATAACAATCCATTTAAAGCCTCGCTAGAGATAACACATGGTAGAATTCCAAACACTATAAAAATCTGATAAGATATTGCTGCTCCCGCTACATATCTCACAAATCCCAACATGCATTGAAGGCCGTAATTGGCCACATACGATAAGGACTAGAGAATCCGAAAGTTGCGCCACCTCAGGTATGCCCACAAATGACCTTAAAAATTCATGCGCGCGACTGCACTCAGTATCACTTTAGTCACAAGGTGACTAGTATTCGGACAGTTTCCCAGTGTTGATTCTGATGAGGAATATTATTTTCAACAAACCGAATTTTTTAATGAAGACTTTGGCCTGTGAAGCTATGAAGTGACACGTTTTTATAGAGCCAGTATTAACCACTTCCCAATCACAAACTTTATTTTGTTCAAGTGAACTATGATATACTAATTCGGACTTTGGGGAAGTTAATTATTGAGTATGAGAAGGTAGCAATTCTAGTGGACTTAGAAATAGACATGTTCATGCTTTAGTGCACTGAGTTTTAAGTGATGCTTCTTCGTGATGATAATTTCTACATACATTAGAGTTTTGACGGACCTACCTAGCTGAAGACGCTCGGTCATGCATCCATACCAGATTTTAGCGGTAAATAAATCCCCAAAATAAATAGCCCTGTAAGTTTTTGACATTGGATGCTGACCATATGTTTTAGTGGACTCATCTGGCTGAAGGCGCTCGGTCAGGCATCCGCACCAGATCACGTGTGGTAACGCCGTGCTCAACAACTACTACTGCAATCGCTAGCCAGATTAGATCAGAGAATTCCGATTTATTGGTTATCGCCAAATACACTCTTCCGATCTCCTCGACTATGTCTTTTGATTTCTCTCGGTGGGTACAAATCATATTAGGTGTTACTGGTAGAAGCGTTGTCAAACACTGAATACCTGTGGCATAATTGGTGAGACCGACGTGATCTGGTACACCTAATTGCAACTGTGAATCTGTTCCTTTTTGGGATTTTTATATATAATTGACTTATTTTTTTATTTTTTTAAACATTGTGATTTTTTCGTGTTTTTTCTTTGATATATATATTTTTCCCCTCGTTCATTATCGTACTTCATATTTCATCATGACTGAACAGACACCAAAATTACTTAAGCTTAAGACTTTGTCCCCACCTTAGTTTCAACTCATGCCTTTCTGGCCCGACAACATCGAAGCCTGGTTTTTGCTACTCAGAAGCCGACTTCTCCGAGCACGGCGTGAACGACACACGTGCACAATTCCCCGCAGTAGTCAAGGCACTACCGCGCGAATTCTACAGGTACGTAACACCTAGTATGTTTACTAGTTATGTTTCTGAACCTTACGAAACTTTAAAGCGTTCGATTCTTAAACGAGGAGACCTAACCGATCGACAAAGTTAGACAAACTCCTCAATAACATCGACCTGTTGCAACGAATAAGAGAGATGTTGTCGGCCAAAGAACTTTCAATAATGGCTTATTTAAACATTTTTTGTCAAAACTTCCTCAAACAGGTCCAAGCTCTGCTTGTCTCTGGATATATTGATAATCTGTCAAATATATCTTCGAACCTCTTCGCTTCTGACTCCTGATTTCTCTTAGTAGACACGCTTCGGTTATAGAAGGTGTTACTGGTTAAGGTGTTATCAAACTTCAATTTCTTGCGGCATCTTAAAGGCACTGATTTTTCTGACATGGATACTGGTCTGCTCATGATTGCCGGAGTACAAACTGGACAGTTCTAGCAATTACTAGTTATCATCTCAATTCGACCATTTGTGCTGATCAAGCTTTTTGAAAAACGATTCATCCAACGGGTACCCTCGTAGCAGGTAGTGATACCTCCGTGACCAGTACATTATGTCCCACGATGTTTAATTTTTGATAAAATTGAAACCCAGATCATAGATATATGTAGTGGTGTATAATTATGGTCTACTATGATAGTAGTACTGCTCTAATAATAGACCTCATCCTAAAATCTCAAATTTGTCATGGTAAAACTGCCTAATCTATAAGATCTTACGTGGAAGTCACATCATCGCCTATACCAACCCACTGCGTCGAAACAATTACCAATAAATGATGAGGAAAAAGCTTAGACTAGAGATAGAAAAATAAATTTTATATGAATAAAATATATAAGGTAACATTCCGCAAGGACCACGCCTGCATGGCCGAGCCATGCCATTCGATCAACACTTATTCAACTCCTTATTCTCGCCTTCTCCATCATTGGGTTTTTCTCCGCGTTAAATATTGAATATCTATTTTTCCAGTAGTATCGTGTAGAGCTTTGAGGATTGTGTGGTTATGGTCCGATTCCACTACAGTGGTATCAGCCCCGACCAGACAATCCACAAAGCTGAACATGTGTTAACTAGGAAAATTTATATTCAGCAACAGAGCAGATCAACAATGGAAAGGGGGGGAAGAATTAATCTGATTTATTCGAATGACACGGCTCAGCCTCGCAAATGTGGTCATTCTGTATAGCTTGTCTTTAATCACATTAAATATATTATCATATCTTCAGACCGAAACTGTTCTTCAGAAGAAATAAGATTCATGTTGTTAATTGTCAAGATACGATGAATCAGTGCAGACAATGATATGACTTCCACGTAAAGTCTATTAGATTAAGCAGTTACATCATGACAAATGTACAATTTTAGGATTAGGTTTATTATTAAAGAAGTACTATTAACTACGCAGACCATAATTTTAGAGATCTATTATTAAAATAGTACAAATAACGACGTAGACCATAATTCTACATATATACTATGTAGTTCAACCACGTACGACATACCTCCGTGGTACATCTCACGGAACATCTCTTTAAAAGGAGACGGAAGTTCTGAGTTTCAGTCGGAAATCAGAAGAAATGTTACTTCCTGTCGATCCTTCAGAAGTCATTAGAAACTCAATCACCTCTAGAATACGTTACGTATTGACAAACGGAGGAAACCTGATAACTGTATTTGTACATCTTCGAATATGTCGTCGAAACTTACTGATTCAGAAAGCCGCAGATTTATTACGGTTGCAGATTTATGACATATTGTTTGCCTTTACACCCATCATGACAAAACAATGCAAATAAATAAAAACGCATTAGATCTTTATTATAAGTGGTTCATAAACGCATTTCACTTGTTTCACTAGAAAAATCAGCCGAATCGCACATGGTAGCATTGCAATATAAAGAATTGTCCGTCTAGTATTTGAACAAAATTCGTATCAAAGCCCAGTAGTATTTAAAACAAAGATATTGGCAGTTGATTGATCACTGGGTGGCCATCAATGTCATGCTTGTCTAGTCCTTACTAATGCAGATCGAATGCTATCGACCATGTTGCAATGTGGCCACCAGTCTAGGTGACTTGACACTGCGGGCGCTATGTATTGAGATTTAGATGGTAGTTGGAGGTAGTCAACAGGAAACCCTGGACCCGGGTTTCGTGCTACTTGGCACTCGTCGGCAAGGTGTACCTGTAATCTTGAGGGAACTGGTGCTCCCTGGCGGATTCGATCTCGTGTAACCCAGCTTCACAGTCAGAGACGTTACCACTGAGCTATCCGAGCCATGACTAACCTCCTGTAGGACTGAGCTGTAATCACAATTGTTTGATCACTGGGTGGTGATCAATGTCCTGCTTGTCTAGTCCTGACTTTGAAGCTGGAAGACACGAGATTGAATCCGCCAGGGAGCACCAGTTTTCTTCAAGATTACAGGTACACCTTGCTGACAAGTTCCAAGTAGCACGAAACCCGTCTCTAGGGTTTTGCTGTCGACTACCTCCAACCACCATCTAATCTCACTAAGATATTGAACTAGATTCAGTATCCAGTGTTCGTGATATCATCTGCTGAATCGAAGATCACTATTCGTTGCTAAACATATATTACGCCCACAAAGCACGACGTTATGTCAGCATAGTGTATTGTATAGAGGATTTCATCCATGAAATGGATGAAAGTGTTGTGGTGTTGGTTATCAACGTCTAAAACAAACCATACCATAATTCTACATTGATAAGCCCGGATAAAGAAACTCGGCCTGTCATTAATTCTCCCTCTGACTTTAACTTAGTCGATTGATTTTCACAGATGTTAACCCGTTATTCTATTAGTTCGTCGACTAATGCTCACGTGTATTATAATGTTGTGATAGTGATTAGTATCCATGACTTGCTCGCTCAGTTAATAATAGTAATTGATCATCTATATTATAATCTACAATGGTTAATTAGCAAAATTTAGAAGCATTACATGCTGAGATATGATGGCGGTTGGAGGTAGTCTACAGGAAACTCTGGGCCTAGGTTTCGTATGACTTGGCACTCACCAGCAAACTGTACCTGTAATCTTGAGGAACTGATGCCTCCTGATCGATTTGGTCCCGTGTCATCACTCTGCAATGAGAATAACTCATTATGGTATCTCACTCCGTTATAGTATAATCAACCTATTGTCAGATATGTCAGCTTGCGGAACGAAGAAAGGTGTTTATCCGTAGGAACACATGGTCTTGCACTCGGACAGCCAAATGTTGATAGGTTGAAGTCATTTGATGCTGCACACACATTTGTTCATTTCTTTCATTTCTGTGCTGTAAATTACAACGATGACATGATTTGTCAACATATAAGCTCATTTAAAGTGTCATTGAGATATAACCAGCTTTAAATAAGTAAGTATAAATACCTACAGTCTGATACTATCAGCTATTTAATAACCCGAGAATCTGTCTTTCTGATACTGGGACTGGTGCTGGTATCCTTCTAGTTAGACAAAACAAATGTGACACAAACTAGCATCCAATTCGCGAATTCGTCAACAATGACTAAGAGCTAGGTTAACCGGAACGATACACTGTACTTTATTAATAACAAGTTATTCTGTGGTTATCATAAAGAGTAGCATGAGGATTAACGCGAAAACCTAAGGCACTAGAGAAAACGTTGAGCCATTAACACGGATTAGCTCCACTGGTCACAGCTTCTCACTAGAACTCCGAGAATTCCTTCACGATGCTAGTCACTAGTAAGCACATGGTAATTATTGGCATATAGTTGTGGAGATTATTAAGTTCT